ATAGACTTGAAGCCTAAGTAATTTCATTTTCCAGCAATAAAATTAATATTCACTATTGATTCAAATTTTGTTAAGCAAATTCAATCAAATATGTTCTCTAATTTTCTTTTTTATAATATTAAGAATATTTCTTCTAAGCATCATGATACTTCCAAGTTTAAGTTCAAGAATAATCTATTTTATTTTGAAAATTGCATATATGCTCTAAAAGAAGAAGTACATCAAGACTTTTTAGGAATAAGATATTTTGGATATAATAAGACTTTGGAGCTTATGTTTAAAGATTTTTGGTAGCCACAAATATAGAAAGCTATGAAAGACTTTGTACAATCATGTCATATTTATTCAAGATCAAAAACTCCTGATCATTGACCTCATGTATTTTTTCAACCATTGCCTATACCAGAACAACCATGATCTTTTGTTTCTATGGATTTTATTATAAATCTTCTAAGTTCAAGTTCATATAATTTTATATTTGTGATTGTAAATTGCTTCATCAAAATGGCATATTTTGTATCATGTATAAAATCTATTTTAAATTAAAAAAATAGCTAAGCTTTTTCTTAAAAATATTTATCGCTATTGTGAATTGCCAAAAGATATTATATCAAATAAAGAAATATAATTTATATCAAGATTTTAGAGAATCCTTTTAAAATATTAAAAGCAGATATAAAACTATCTTTGGCTTTTTATCTTCAAACTAATGTATAAAAAAATCAAGTAATCAAGTTTCATAATAATATTTGAGGTGTAGCATCAACTATCATCAAAATGATTAAACAACTCTTTTGCCATTAGCAAAGTTTGCATATAATAGTTTGATACATTCTTCTACTCAACAAACACCTTTTTTTTCAATTATGGTTATTATCCATGACTTGATACCTTTGACTTTTCAAATGTTGATAATCTTATGGCAAAAGATTTGATAAATTATTTGTCAGATCTACATGCAATAATAAAGGCATAATTAAAAAAAGTTTAAGAATGAAAAAAAATAAATACAGATACCTATTGTAAGGAACAACTATAATTTAATGTAGATAATAAAGTATACTTACTTCAATACAATATCAAGTCTACTTATTCTTGTAATAAGTTATACTATTGTATGCTTAGACCTTTTCTTATTTGTAAATAAATCAATTCAAGTGCTTATTGATTCCATCTATCTAAGTCAATAAAGATTTGACATGTATTCTATGTCTCTTCTTTTAGTCCATTTAAGATAGTGAACATACTAAAAACAAGACGAGTACCACATCTTCCTATAGAAATAAACAGTAATGAATAGTTTGAGGTAAAAGAAATCTTAGACTCAAGGCGGCATCAAAATAGGTTGAAATATCTTATTTATTGGGACGGATATGGTATTAATGAATAAACATGGAAGCTAGCAAAGAATCTTGTAAATGCAATAAAAAAGATAGAGGCTTTTTATCGATGATATCCATCAAAATCAATATGAAGAATAACAAATCTTTGCTAAAAATGAAAGAATATCCAAAGAAGATAGCATTCTACCTTCTATCATTGTTTGTAGCTTTTGTATATTTGTAGCACTAAAAAAATGGAGAACCAACAACCAACAAATTTAATTCAAGAGCTATCATTTTTTGACTTATTGAACAAGACATTGCAATTGTCACAACCTTTAAGATGACATAATCGAGATGAAGTTCTTGAAAAACAACACATTCTTCCTCAAATAGATGGCAAGTTATAATGTGTTTAGTATCACAACCTTGAAAGAGACTCTTGATATTTGGTGATTTTATTAGAAGTAAGAATAATTCTTGACGGTTTTTCAAATATTTTATTTTAAAAAAATTACTAAAGCCTCAACAATGATCAAATAATAGGGTGGTCTTCTTGCATTAATATAAGATTCTATTGATAGCTGAAAGAACCTATCAACCATCTTTGAAGAAATTAAAGATCAAAGTATGTGGCAAATGTAATTTAATGCATCTTGGATTTTTTCAACATGTGATGACTACTTCCCATAGAACTCATTCTTAGAAGAAATGATAATATCATGGACATACATATTTATTCTAATAATTATCTATATGATTTGGTAGAAATAAATAAAAGTAAATTAATTTTATAATATCTTCTAGGGAAGCTTTGTAGAAGCTTTATTGACATGGTTTTGATTTTATATGTATTTGCAGTTGATTTGTAGGTTAAAAACTTGGTCAACAAATTATACATGTATCACATGTATAGATAGTTTGTAGAACAAGCTAATTTTGTAGCACACATATTAAAAAATTCACTTGCAAATTAAGATATATATAATAAGATATAGATAAGATACTTATATAAATAATTAGAACCATGGAAGTTTTAAGAATTGGGGTTTGGTTAGTGGATCAAATAGGATCTATTGTAGAACATTCTAAAAAGGATTCAGGGTGATTATTTAGGTGGAATCCACCACCTAAGAATATTTTAGAAAGTCTAAGGTAGTAGGACAAGGTATAAATAGGACTAGCGATGACCTTCTGGGGCATCTAGTCAAGTATGGCTTCAAATCTTTTCTCTTAATAAAGTTTGGTTTTGCATCCTTTTGTTCAATTCTGTTTTGTTTTGTTTCCATTTTCTTAGTTGTCTTTCATGTCCTATTCTGTGTATTTCCGTTTAATTACATTCTGATCTATTTTTTCTTATTTTGTAATGAGATTTTATATTGCTATGAAATAGAAGGATCTTGGATTTTTGAGATAGTTTGGTCATGTTTCAATATATGTCTTGTATTGAAGAAAAGAAGTCTAAAAGCTACAAACACTTAGCATTAGCAAGGTTTGCACATAAAGAGAAGTGAGGAGTAAGATAATTCTTACTTCCAACAACCTTTACTTATAGGTGGTGGTTTGTTAACCAACAAGACAACTTCCATCCTTTTGATATTACATCCATTTCTACTTCATCCAACTAAACCCTAGGTACTACCATAGAAACTTCCTTTAACTCTTTGTTGCCTTTTGACTATTAGCAACATACTATGTTTAATCTCTAACCAAGTACTTTCTTATCTTTAACATCTTGCAAGGTCAACACATATTAGAAGTCCTATAAAACACTGTTATATAGCTCCTAATTAGATAGTATATATAGAAGTAAGAATAAAGTCATTTTCACTCTTATCAATGTCTTTTTTAATTTTTAGAGTAGTTTCAAGGGTCTATCTTCTTCTTGTCTTTGGCAATAGCTATTTCAATTCAATATTATACCATCTATGAGTGATTCTCTAGTCTTTTTGAGTGGGACAAGGATATATTGATCATTTAATTATTTGAGGTTCATGTCTTTCATATAAAATTGAGAAAGTTTTTTTTTGATGTCAAGTCCAAAGGCATTACCTCTAAGTTTCTCATTATTGCTTACAACTCAATTACATAGAATAATGAAAGAAATAAGATTCTTTTATTTGTCATACATATAACTTGAGTCTTTTTAGATTCATTCATGAGATTGGCCTATTTTTAAGCAAAGAACAAAGGAAATGGAGATAAAAGAGGTTATAATAATGGTTTTGATAGATAGGTCAATTTAATAAAAGTTAGATCAATTTAATAATTTTTATTTTTTATTTTTGTAACTTATGTAGTCTCTAGTACAATTATTTGATTTTTTTTAAATACCTACAAATATTTTTTATGAAGAACAAAGATAATTAAATTAAAATATAAAATTCAACATATTATTGATTATGTATAAATGTATATAGCATTATATCAAATATTAATTCTATTTTTTTTAAAAAATTATCATAATTTAAAAATTCATCAAATAAAATCATTAAAAAATATTTATCATTTATCAAAATTCTGTTACAAAAAATAAAAATAAAAACATTAAATGAATATTTTTATCAAAACATCTTTTTTAGATGTAGTCTTTATTTATAAATTAAAATTTAAACCAAAAGAATGTAAAGTTATTTAAAAAATGAATAATACAAGAGTATTTTATTTTTTAAAAATTATAAAAAAAGATAAACAAATATTAATTACAAATCAGATGTGAAAACATGTTTGCTGCAACTTCACAAATCTTGAGAAGGTCTTTGCTAAGTTACCCAAAAAGGATGCATGAAAAGATTCAAATCCTATACAAATACTACATTATTAGCAATTGACACAATAATTTCTATTACTTGAAGTTGTTTAAATGTACAGTGGTTTTTGAAAAAACACAGCAAAATATAAAATTAGATTAAGAGATGTATAATATCGATTCTTTAGAAAACAAAGGAAGTAGAGCAGATCCATAAACTTTCTTTTTGAGTCCAAAACATCCCATTTTGTTTTGATCTTGGTATAACAAACATTCATATTTACTTGAATAATTATTTAAATAATATAAATAGATAAAAGTAGATAAAAATATATTAACTTAATAATGTTGTATAAAAAAACTTCTTAAAATTTTTATAAATATAATTTCACTTTCATATGTGTCTAAAGGTGATTGGTTGATTGAATACTTGGCTAAAAAATTAGCCACATGTCACATGTATTGGTAGTTTGTAGTACAAGCTAATCATGTGGCACACATTTAAAAAACTTGCCTTGCAAGATAAGACATGTGTCTTATAAATTAAATATGTGTTGGAGGTCCTATAGAATGTCACCATATAGCTCTTACTTAGATAATATATATAAAAGCAAGAGTGAAGCCTTCTCCACTTTTGCCAATTTATTTCTTATTTTTAATGTAGTTTTAAGGGTCCCTAATTTTCTTGTCTTTTTGCATTAACCATTCTATTTTTACTTTTTTGAATATATGTATTTTTTTATTTTATTTTATCATCTATCTTTGAAAAAATTCCTACTTATTTATTTGCTTTTATTGAATTATTGTCTTTGACACCCAAAGAATATGTCTTGTTAGAATTTGATTAAAGTAGACAATTCATTTCTAATCACTTAAGTATTTTACTATCTAGACACATAGACTTACATAATTCTGACATGTAGTAGATATAAACCAAGAATCCAACTTTTACAAAATAATAATGTATAGCAATTATTGATACTATTAAGAAAAGTCTGGCACCTAATTATACTATGACTCTACACCAACCAATCAACAATTGTCACATGAATTTTATATATTGCTCACAAGTTAACATTATTAACCAACCTACAACCTATTTCCAATGAATGGAAATGGATTTTTTCCAAATCAATTTCAAACCTTGTCACTGTACTAACCAAAATACAACACTCTATATGTTGCAAATAGAGGGTGGTTCAAAATACAACACTCTATATGTTGCAAATAGAGGGTGGTTCAAAATACAACACCCTATATGTTGGAAATGGGGGTGGTTGACAATCAGTCCAGTACCTTAGTTTGCCTAAAAATGGGTTGTTGGAAATGGGTTGTTGTGCAGGGGTGATTTTGCAGTATGAATCACAACTGTATAGTAACTGCTTGCGACGGAGCATCTGTCTCTACTTGTTGCGTGTAAACCTTATAGTTGAGGTTTTCGTTATCCTGCTTTCAGAGACTGAAAATCTTCACTATGTTGTTGCTGTTTCCACGCTGTAAGTATTATCCGAAGATGCTGCACTTCAGCCATGAGATCGAAGTGGAAATTGCAAATCACAACTTTCCAACTCGTGAAACTTTCGACTGCGGTTGCATTCCACGTTACCAGATCTGGCAAAGCTGGGAAGCGGCACTTTCCAACAGACTCAACGCGTGGAATACCAGCAGGGACCTCCAACCAGCGACACTGTTTGTCGGAATTGGTGTATACTCCCATCAGTATGTAACCCTTGTGCTCGACCAAATCAAACACCTGCCAACCTTCAGTCTCGTAAATAACAATGCATCCGAGCTCGATGGGGAATTCGCTTGAAAGTTCCCATTCTTCGAGGGGGAAGTACTGATCCTCATCAGCGTCTCTACAATCACCCGCGCCAACAGTTGCACAGAACAGTCGGTCGTCGTACACCAAAAACTTGTAAAGATGATAATCCATCGAGAAACCCGTTAATTTCGGTACCATTGATTCTATGTCACAAATATGAACTAAAATATCATATCCGCTCTTACAATAGAGACAGTAAGTGTCTCGCACAAATGCAGTCCAGACTATATCGACGTCGGCAATATGTCTGTGCACAGGCAGAACTTGGAACGCATCGAGCATTGAATTGTACACAACAACGCATCGGTTGAAAACGACGTAAATCTTGTACGATGACGATGATTTGTCTGCTCGAATGAAAATTTGTTGTAAACTCAGATAGAGCAGATTCCCGACGACCTCATTCGTTTCATTCCGCTACTGGGGAAGACATTTCCAGCTCTTGGTGAGAGGGTTACAAACCAAAATGACATATTTTTCGAGTGGATCCTGGTGAGCTCGAACTGCGCCGACACATAGAAGACCTCCGTCCGAACTAGCTGAGAGGATTTGCACGCAGTTCTTCTTGATAAGAGCATTGTACAGAAACGTTAGGTCGAGACCATGCCAGTTGCTACCATCGGAGCTCAAAACGGGGGCAAAGCGGAGATCATACAACGAACGAATGGCAAGGAGATAAGGTCCGGCACGGGGATTGAGACAACGCCTTCGGAAATCAGCCGAAGTCGTCCACTTCCTCCATTGCTTACAAACACTTGCGAACCGCAGGAGCTCGACCACGGGAAGGCGCAGCAGCACTTGGTATTGAATTTCAGCCGGAAGTTGGCACCACAACTCAGGCTGCATCGACGACGACGACGCAACTGATACAAATCCATCAACATCCACCATAGCCCAACTGCGCACTTGATGCCAACAACAAACCCCGAACACCAAGTTACCGACCTCGTCCAGACAAAACCTAAACAACGACGGTGTCAACCAAAGCTGGCTCTGAGATGCTGCAACGACGTTGGCACAGAGAAGCAAGCGTCCCAGCTGTTGGACGCGCACAATTCCTAGTGCTGCAGTGCGTGCATAGATTTCTTCAAGTCTGCGAGGATTACTGACCCAGATCTAGAAGTTTCGATGAAAGCTAGATCTAGATCCATGGATCCCTCTCTCTCTCCCTGACTTTCGACGCTTTTCCGACTCTTCGCCGACTCCGCGCCGACTATTTTCCATGCCGAGGTTGGCAAGGCTTTAGGAACCGCAACACTTGGTGGAGCTTCTTTGTCTTCGTGTTCGTTGCATTCTGGTGTGAACAAGTTTGTGGGTTTCGGTTGTTCTTTGGTAATTCGGAAACGTCTTCTGTGAATTCTAGTTACATTTCACCAACTTCGAGAACAAGGCTGCTGTAAATTTGGGTTGATGTTTTTCTTGGTAAAAAGTGAAAGATAAAGCATACATTTTTTTTCGTTGAGTGAAGGATTTTCTTTTGTCATTTACTTTTTTTACTGTTACTCCTTTCAGAATGTGTTTAGAATGTTGTTTCCAAGGCAAAACACGTAATTTTTTTTTTTTCAAATATCAAGTACATATTATGAGTATACTAGCTTCATCAATTGTTTCTTACATGAACTCTTAATTTCTTCTCAAACTTTCTAAATTAAAGATGTTTTGATGTAATCTTAAATACAATTTGAAAAGTTATATGTGCAATTAGTCAACAGGTCTCTTAAAATAATTGAGAATAACCTAACCTTGAAGATTAAACCATAATTTATTTGAGACTTAAATTAATTTGTTTTTATTTATGATTTAAAGCTTGGCCTTTTGCTTTCTGTCTACAAATATCAATGAAAAATAAATAAATAAATAAAGAAAATATTATTTTGTGTTTGATATCCTTTAATCCTCTTCCAATAATCTTCATTGTCATTATTTTATTTTTTGGGGATTTGTAAGTCTTTGAACATTTTATCATAATTATCAAATTTACATACATATGGCCTTTCCTCAATCCAATAGGATTCCAAACTGCTATTTTAAATTTAAACTACTTTTGTGCAGATATATTATTAAATAATGTATTTGTTGGCTGTGTAAATCAAATCCTTCAAGTCAGAAAAGGTGGTATGACTCTTTTGAAAGTAAAAAAAAATACTGTTAAAACTTTCCTGTTTCTATATTTTTATATTTTTGTGGCTTATTTGAGTTAAGCAAGTGGATATTGTATTGACAGGTATGCAATCAGTAGAGTATAATCGTGATATCATTTGTGTCATTCAATTCTGTCGACAACGAGATAAAACACTAAAAATACTTGGAAGGTTCTAGGATGCCAGAAAAGATAAATCCACTAAAAAAAATTACAAATTATATATTTAAGAATAGGAATAAAATTAGAGTGTATAAAATTATTTTTGAACTAATTTTTATTAATTATTGATTTTATCATTCTATGTACTATTCATCTCCAATCATTTTTTAGTTTTCTATTTTTAACCAAAAATGAAAAATAAAAAAAAATCATTATACAATTTTGATTCTAAACCAAATTTAACATAAAATGCCTGTAAAATATGGTAACTCTATGTTACGTTATTCTAGTTGGGGAACCTTACTTTACCAAGGGATTACGCGATCGAGGACCGGCGATACCGGGGTCGTGCTGTTGGAGTGATGACTGCGTACAACCAGGTCAGGTCAGGGTATCAGAGACTCTTTGCCGCGCCTGGGCTAGGGGATGCAAGCAAGCAAGGGGATGGAGTGCTGCGGTAAGTTATTCGGCAAAAGGCTTTGCGCAGGGTTTGGGTTTGGTTTTGCGAAGCTAACTGCACCTGATCGCCCCGCCCAGGACTGGTATTGAGATTGCAGCACAGACGGCTGTCTGATCATCGCAGCAGGAAGTAGAACACAGGGTGACTTTGCGGGGATAGTAGCGATGGGCAAGAAGAAGAAGAAAACGTTCAAGGTGTGGTGTTTTTACTGCGAGCGCGAGTTCGAGGACGAGAAGATATTGATACAGCATCAGAAAGCTAAGCATTTCAAGTGTCATGTGTGTCATAAGAAGCTCTCGTCCGCCAGCGGTATGGTCATTCATGTTCTGCAAGTGCACAAGGAGTCTGTGTCGAAGTACGTTCCCTTGACCGTTTTGGTTTGGCGTTTCTTGGGGTTTACGGTGTTTTGATTGGTCTCGCGGCGGTGTGTTGTTCCCGTGGCCCTGCACAGAATGCTCCTCGTATCGTTGAGTATTCAATGGCAAATGTCGTCGAAGTGCCCACAACCCTTAACAGCGACTTATTGATTATTTTAGGGTTGGGATGTTTATGGCTGTTGCCCTTGTCGAAAGAGGAGTCGTGTATTTTAACTGATCAGGAATACTTGTCTGGGATAACTCTTGGTTCTCAGCAGGATTACTGTCTGTGATGAGTGGTTTTTTTATATTTTACCCCGCTAAAACCCTCTGCCTATGCTAGAATTCTGTTGTATCATCACCAGTGTGTTTAATATGCCGTTAGGAAGGAAAACTTAAAATACAGTACTTCATTTTTTTTTATTTTTTTTTATTTTTTTCTATATTTGTGGTTGCCCAATTAGTTATGTCCATTTATGTTTTGCAGAGAATCTATGTACCTATGAACTCAGCTGACCTCTGCGCGGCGAGTATGGTGAAGGCATTATTGTGGTCACACTGTATTGACTTGGTCGTTGTATCGAGCATGACGTTTTACTGGTTATATGCAGAGTACCTAATGCCAAGTCGGAAAGGGAGTCCTTGATCGACCTCGAAATATATGGTATGGAGGGTATACCAGCTGACATTTTGGCCGCCCACGATGGGGATTACGATGGTATGTTCATCCATCAATGCCCTTTTATGCTTCACATGTTTATAGGATGGTGCTGGAAATGGAATGTTATGGCACATGCTTAATGTCCATGTAGCGTGCCCACAACATGGCCTGCCGTTGGTGGCAGGATTCTACAGTTGTTACACAATATCGTGTCATCTTGTCGGTGTTGAAGTAACCACTCTGTCCCTTGGCGACTTGTCAGGATGTTATTTGCAATCATCTATCGTAATTATCCAATTCAGTGATCCATCGCTTAGTGGTCTTTTAAGATTAGGGAAAGAATTTAGTATGAATAGTTCTTGTGAGTATCTTGTGACTGTAGAGTACAAGGACCCGCGTACTATTAGTTGAGTAGTACTGCATGTCTGCTGCTCCACAAGCCTTATCCTGACGAGGTTTGCTGTTTTTTACTCTTTCTTGCTGGAAGCCTAGACTGGTCTGAAAAGTTCCGTCCCTAGCAAGTCACAAACATCGAGAGTGTTAGTATTTCAAGATTCATAATGGGATTTTTCGTGTCATTGGTTCTGTAAAATTCGGAGCATTTCGTGTGAGATAGCTGCACGGGCATTGAAAGGAGGTATGGTGTATCAGAAGTTGCATTAGAAAGGGTCTTAGTGCTGTTCATATTATGTGAAGTTGTTTGCAAGAGAGTGCCGATGTTAATATCTATTGGGAGCTTCGGCTCACGCAGAGGATGAGAACCCATCAAAGGTTGCAAGAGTGGAAGTCCCTCCGTCATTACCCTTTGTTGGAGGGGGTATGATGGGATCTAACGCAATCGGTATGGCCCCACAACCAATGTATACTGCAACGCAGCCTATGTAAGTCATTCTTCGAACCCTTACATTGCTGTGCTTGTCTGTTTTGCCAGGTATTAATGGATGCATGCTTATGTGCAAGGTGCGTAGGTCATTTCTTGTTTAATCTAGGTCTTGATGGACAATGATTTCAACCTCCTTCAAAAAATGAAGGCTACTATTGATTAGTTTGTTATGTTGGAAAATAAGTCGGCTGGTGTTCACTTTGGTCATAGATCCAGATGCTTGTTTCATTTGGTTTATTACATAGGAAAACTCTTGATTAGCTAATTCATTTGTTTCATTGTTTGACAATGTCACCTTTGACGTCCACCTTTATCGAGTTTCATAGCAAAAATGCGGTGTTTGGTTTAACCTATTTGACTCTTTATTGAAGTCATATCTGATGCGTGGGATATTTCTAACTGGTATTATGTTTACAGGTACCGGCCACCACCGGGATCAGGTCCACGGCCACCTTCGAATTGGCAGCCACAACCTCCACCGCCGCAAGGATGGGGCGGTCCTCTACACGGCCAACCAGGCCCACCTCGCATGCCTCAACCTCCTCAGCCTCTTTTTCCTATTCAAGGACAACGACCTTCCCCTCCTTCTCAACCTCCACCGCAACCTCTTTTTCCTATTCGTCCTCCTCTCCCTCCAGGTTCTGCTCCCCCTCCTCCTCGACCATTGTTCCCTGTAGCTCAAACTCCAAATGGACCACCACCTCCTCTACCACCTCCAGCTCCACCACTCAGTTCTGCTGGCTCGGTTGTGAAGCCACCTCCGCCTAGTCCAGGCAGCAATCAATCAAGTATCAACGGAAGTCCTGCTATGGCACCTTCATTGCCACCATCAGGAGCATCTCCTGGAGTAAATATGGGTGCGGGGGTTAATGCACGACTGCCCCCTTCACCTTATGGAGGTTGGACTTTTATTTTGTGGGACTTGTATTGTTGTTGTAATTTCCTCGTACGCATGACCTTTGACCTAATCCGCTTGGAAATTCAAGTTTTTACATAGCTTGCCTACGATGCGCAAGTGGTTCACAAGTTTGGTGTTGGTTGATATGTGAATATCATTGTTTCATATTTTACCTTCAGCACTTATTGTTGATACTAATATATGTCGTGATGACACAGCTATGAGTGGTCCGCCTCCCCCGCCACCTAGTAGTCATATGTACTCATCTGGGCCTAACACTGGCGGACCATCGATAGGACCCCCTCCTGTTATTTCGAACAAGCCTCCTGGGCCCGCAGGCGGTACAAACGAAGTTTATCTAGTGTGGGACGACGAATTTTTCTCCATGGTAAGTTATGTTCCATTGGTGGTACTTGTCGTGATTTTCGATGATCTGCTGTAACGACAGCAGCATATTCTATGCAGAGTGAGTTACGTGACTGCTGCGTACTGCAACTCATCAAGCTTCTTACTTGTGCAGGAGGAACGGAGGGCAGCTTTGCGGAAATATCAAGTTCACGATGAAACAATGCAGGTGAGCAAAGCGCACATTGTATTCGAAAAATATGGAGCATCTGAAATTGCCGATTATTTATACAGGTTATTTTTAATCGTCCATTGATTTAGTTGTTGTTCACAGAGCATACCTTGAGCTGTAATAACGTGTTGCTTTTGTTTACAGATGAGTTCTGTTGATGCTGCAATTGATAGGAGAATACTAGAAGGCAGGTTGGCTGGCCGCATGAGTTTTCATGTGTAAGATCTTTACCTGCTAGCGTTCATTCCATCATTCGGAGGCTCAGGAATATTTTCTTGGTGGTAACAGATAGCAAAGTAGTGTTCTTCATCTGATGTGGCCAGCAATTTTTCATGGCTCCAAGCAATGACATTTGTATGCCACTGGAGTGTGATCAGCTCATGTCAGCTGCTACTGATTTCTGCACCCCTGTGTTTAATTCAAGGTGTATTTTATCGTCGAGACTAGAACTTTTAGTCGCTCTGTGAAGAATCTGGTTGTTTCATGGTGAATGGGAAGGCTTTTTTATCTGGGTATTCGATTGATGCACGATTAGCTTACTGTTGCGTGCATGACTTGCTGATCTAGTCATCTCTGAACTTCGTATTCTGGGTTTTCTTTTAATGTGTATTGCCACTGAGAAATTCATGACATACTCGTCGAATTATTGAAACAACAGCAGCAGTAGAAGACTACAGTGAATGTTCTGCACATTGGCAAGTAAATCCTACTTCACTCACAGAAATTTCTGTTTAAGTGTTCCCATCAATCTCCTCATTTCAGTTTCTATCAAACACTCGATGATTTGAACTGCGACGTTTCATGACCAGGATCATCTACAGAAGTGATGAACCAAGACCGTGTCCAGATAAATTTTGAACTGTATATTAGCGTGGAAGTTTGAAGTCCAACCATATTCATAGTGTTGTTAGCCAGTAGCTGTTACTTTCTTGAGTACCAATGAACTGTTGCTAAATGATAACAGCAAAATGATTTCACATGGACGGTTATTTGGCAGGGCTACAAGGTGTGCTGTTGCCCTCGTTGGATGTCATGAATTTTATAAGAAAGTGGACCAATGGCAAACTAACTAGGACAACAGTCTTACTGCAAGGTTGGCACAGGAAGGTAAGGTTGAACTCTCTCTCTTTAAATAATTTGTTAGTAGTGCCTATCTGGAGTCAGGTTGAAATCTTTAGTACAATGTTTCACTCATATCATCTGGATTTAATGGATGATCCTGCTTGCAAAGTTCACAACACTTGCATTTTATCCCCATCAAATCTGAGTGGCCATGAGTATGGAGCAAGCTACACACTACTAATATAGTAATTTCATCTCTTGGACTTCACCACAGTAACAGCTTATTCTGAAGAGGTCATGCCATAGAGTAACTCTAGTCTTTCAAGTCCACATCTCACATCTTCAGAGTACTTTTGTCCATCATTTTATGTGCATGTGTTCACACGTGCATGATTGGTAAGCAGTTGTGGTCTGATTCATGTCTGATGATGATTGATTATTTAAAAAATAAGTAATTTATAACATGACTGAAGGAATACCGAGCAGAATATGGAAACTGAAATGTTTACATGTGAATTGTATTTCACAGAAAGTATATGAACACACATCAAAGTCCTTAATAATTAAATACATCTTTTTGCAAGAATTTCATTGATATTGTTGTGCACATCCTTTCTGGGGTATTTCTTGACACCAAGTCACAAGTTAGATACATGTGTGACAGTTGGGACTTCAGGGTATTGAACATGGAAAAAATAAGTAGTTTACTCTTGATTCTAGAATATCATTAATCATGTAATTTGGAGATGTGAGTTGAAAGTTTAAAGTCTCTATAAGAAACAAAGTTGAAAAAAAAACAAACATCACTAAATGTTCTAAATGTATAGAAAACACAATTTTTTCAATACTTATTAGAATATAAAGATCTATCAATATTCATGTAAAACCTAGATGATTATGTACACTTCAAAATTTTTATGTGGAATTATCTTTTTTATTTAAAAAGAAAATAATAAATTAAATGGTTGTGAAAAGTATTGAAATCATTTTAAACAAAAGATTATTATCACAATACAAAATATTGTAGTATAAAATATTTGTCAATATGATTGTTATTGTCACAAATATACTATAAAAAAGACTAGACAAGAAGTTGAACAAAAGAATTTCAACAAGAAAGCTAATAAGAACTTGATTAAACCAAATGAGTATAAGATCAACACCAAGAGAGGTGAGCTAGAGTTCCATGAGATGTATTGTCAAGACTAAGGATCTCCTCAGCCTTGAGTCTAATATATACTAGGTATTAGGAAGCTTCTCAATAAGTTTCTATATTGCTTGAAGATGAAGTAATTCTAAAAAGTTTCTTGGACAACTTCTTTAATCTTTCTAGAACTTTTTAGAATCTATTAAAATATTCTAAAAATCTTTTTAGAAACTATAGAAATCTTTTAGAATCTAATAGAATATTTAAAGAATATTCTTAAAATCTTCTTATCAGATGTTCGTAATATCACTTCATCTTATAACTCTAAGTTCAACAAGGAGCATTTGTTTCATATTTTTTTTCTTTGATATATAAAATATCCGACAAATAGCTTCATAAAGAAGTCATCATTAAATAGATTTAGATTTCTGAGGATAGCGCCAATGAAACTCATATACCTTTTGCAATGCATTAACCAGATTTTTTTATTAGTTTCCATGTATGTTCATTGATATTGTAGTTGTGTCAATGAGCAAAATATTCCAACTTACTTCTTCTTCATCGAGAATCAAGGATCTTTTCTATCTCATATTCTATATGATTATCTATTTCAATGCAAGATGGTGATGGTTGTATTCTTTCTCAAATAGTTAATTTTGAATAAGCCTCTGATAGAAAAATATGAAAGACTAGATATATCTTTATGGATGTAGGTAGTTCCAACTGATAAGCCACTAGATTGATTTGCTTTTGAATACAAAATGGCCCTAGTCTTTGATAGATTAACTTATTGCAAGGGTGATTAGTCTTGGTATTTTATTAAGGAAGCCATACTTTATTTCCAACTTAAAAAGTAAGGAATTCTTTTCTAAATTCATTTAAAAATACTTTATAAGAAACTTGAGCTGATTGTAAATAAAGCTTCAAAGTTATTTGGAAGTGTGGTAATTATTTTGCAAGATCTTCAATTGTTCAATTTTCATCTTTTGATATATAATAAATTTTCATCCTTTGATATGTAATAAATCAAGCTTTGGATGGAACCATAATTGGAGTAAAATGGTATTTGTTGAATCAAAGCATGAAAGATATTGTTATAAGAAAATTATTTTAAAAATAAATACAAGGTTCAATCATCTTGTTGATAGTTGATGGTACATCATAAATACTACTTCAAAACTTGATTGATTTGTTCTATTTGACTATTTGTTTGAGGGTGAAAAACAAAAGAAAGTTTGATATCCACCTTCAATATCTTGAAAAAGAATTTCCAAAACTTTAATATAAATTGTGGTCTTCAATAAAAAATGATGTCATTAGATAAGCTATAATATCAATATATATATTATTAAGAAAGCGCCTTGCTATTTCTTCTCCAAAAATTACCGTTTTGTATGGAATAAAATATGCCATCTTTATAAATTGATCCACAATAACATAGATAGTATCAAATGTAAGTGATGGTAATAGATTAGTGATGAAATCCATTGATATTGAAGACTATGGTTGCTTTGAGATTGGTAGTAGCTGTAATAGTCCATAAAGATAATATTAGGAATTTTTAGATCTTAAATAAATGTCACACAATAAAACAAAGTCTTTTACAGTCTTCTATTTGAAGCCACCAAAAATCTCAAGAAATAATTTCTAATTTTTTTTTAAATCTAAAATATCCTATTAGTTAAAAAATCATGATGAGATTGAAGAATATAAAGGTACGTTAGTCTTTTTGGAATATATAAAAGATTTTTAAAATAACAAAAGATCTTTCACAAATTTGAATTTGTTGTTGTTAGGACACTACTTGATATTATGAACTAATGAGTCTTTAGTTGATGTTGCACAAATTTATTCAAAAAAAATTAAATCAACATGTGTTACCATAGAATTAGTAGACAGACAAAATTGTTTTGGCTTCAAAAAAGTGGTATATTACTAATTAAATACTGCTTTTCTAGCCTTTGGAGTAAGATATGACCTCTTTGATAAAGCATTTGATAGTCCTTATTGCTTTTCTGGTTAATATATTATTAAAAATTCAAAATAAAATAATGACATATTCTAATGAACTTGGTAGCAATTCAAAATCAGAGCTGACATGAAATACTCTAAATTTTTGTGATCTATATATAAAAATAAATATTTAGTGCCTTCCAATAAATAATGCTATTCTTAGAAAGAATCTACAATTATAAGAAGTTCTTTATCATGAATCTTAGAATTAATCTTTGTAGCTGAATTGTTTTTAGAATCAAATGGAAGTAGGTAGAGCTTTCCTTCTTATCTATAATAGTATAGCTTTTAATGCAAATTCAAAAGAATCAATTTCTAAATAAAATTTCTTTATAAAATCTAAATATAATAAAATTAAAACTCTAATAACAGTCATCTTCAAATCTTAAATAATCCTTTGTCCTTGAGGTCTCTATTCCAATTTATATTTGGATGTTAACTGAGTAAGAGAAGTAGCAACTTGGTAGTAATTCTTGATAAATATTCAATAGAATTTAATAAATCTAAAAAAATATTATACATTTCGTATTGCCTCTGAAGTTGTTCATTATATTATAGCTTGAACTTTCTTTGGATCCATCAACAAATCTTCATTGGATATAATATATTCAAAAAATTCTACTTTTGATTGATGGAATATACATTTCTCCAATTTGGCATATAATCTTGTATCTCATAACTTTTATAAGACTAATTGCATATGTTCTTTATGTTCTTTACAAATCTTAGAGTAAATTAAAATATCATGAAGATAGTAGATAACAAATTTGTTTAGGAATTCTTGAAAAAAATCATTCATCAAATATTGGAATATAGCTAGAGCATTTGTTAATCCAAAAGGTATGACATTATATTCAAAATATCCATACCTTGTCCAAAATGTTGTCTCCCATTCATCTCTTTCTTTAATCTATACTAAATTATATGCTTTAGAGAGATCTATTTTGATATAGATCTTGACTTAGTCAAGTTGCTCCAAAAGTCCTAATATCAATGATAATAGATGACAATTCTTCACTATTAATTTGTTGAAGCTATGATAATTAATATACATTCACAAAGATCCATCTTTTTTCTTCACAAAAAGTATTGGTATACCTATGGAAGATTTGGAATGCTAAATAAAGTTTTTTGCAAGATTTTTATCAATATAATTTTTCAATGCCAAAAGTTCATTCTGTAACAGGTTGTAGATTGGATCAAATAGTTGTTGACCCTCTTCTTCAAGATTAATGGCACAATCATATGACCAATGCTCCAACAATTTGTTAGCATTCTTTTTTTTAAAGACAACTTAAAATTTCTTATATTACTCTGAGATAGCTACTAGCAAGCTTGATTCTTCATAAGTTAGAGTTGCATAAATAAAAAAATGGCATTTCTTTCTTAGTCATCTTCATAAAAATCCTTGCTTATAAAAATAAAGGATTTATTGTTAATAACTTTTTAATAGGTTTTGCTTGAAGGAATTCTATAGAAAATTCAACCTTATGATACCTCCAATCTATAGATGGATTATATCTTTTTAACCATGAAAGTCCTAGAATGATAGGATTGGATAAACTTCTAATAATATTGAATACTATTTTGCTACTATGGCCTTCAAATGATATTTCTAGCAATATGGCCTCATGAATAATATTATCTAAAGATAAAGGTCGACCATCTATTATTTCTACATGTACAATTTTTGACTTTTGTACTAGAAGAATCTTATGAAGTTTAAAAAACTTCTCATGTAAAAAAAAAAAAATGATGGTCTTGAATCTAATAAGGCACTTGTTTGAAGTTTTTGTGGGCCAAGAAATAAAAGTATAGTAAAACAACAAGCAAGTTGGGCAAAGAAAGATGGATCTTAATAAATTTGAGGTGTTGAAATTTCTAATTGCATGATTCCTATTATAACTAGGCTTCTTTTTTTTCTTCAATGATTACACTTCTAGTCTTGATTGTATGTTGTTTTTTTGCACAATTCTTAGATTTGTGACCTTCTTAATCACAATATAAGTATAATCTTTGTTGAAATTGATGCTTCTTCTCTTCTACTATAAGATGTTTAAATTGTATTACATCAATTTATATATTCTCATATAAGATAATATCAATCAATAAATATAGAAGTAATATATTTATTAAAGCAATAGAATACAAATTTTTATTTTATTATTTTTTTAAAGTCTATAAGCGTTGATCTTGAAAACATTGAAATAACCAATTATTGCACTTCACAGCTTGGCTGATAGCTTCATTGAGTGTTTGAGGATCAAGTACTGAAAGTAATAGGTCTTTTACATCATCCTCTAGTCTCCAATAGAATTGGTTCATAAGAACTTATTTATGCCAATTGATGTCATAAGCTAATTGCATAAAATCACATGCATAAATTGATATAGAGTATGATCCTTGACATAATGAATGAATCTTTGTTGTTGTCCATTGAGCCTTATTATGTTCTCCAAATGCCTTTGCAAATGCTACTAAGAAATTTTCAAAGTTCCTTAAGATTAGAGATCTCTCTTCAAAAAAATGAGCAAACCAAGATAAGGCTTGTCTTGTAAGCAAGGTTTTAATAATAATAACTTACTATTCTTTGGTTGCATAGTCTTTAAGTTATAAAAAAATTACCAACTGAATTTAATTAATAAACCCTCAGAACTTCAAGCATGTGCCATCAAATATTTTTAAAAGACTAATTTGAAGTTCTTTATGTAATTGAATAGGTGAATTTTCTTGTCAAAGTATAGGTGCCACCATGTCTTTAGATGTACAAGCTTAAGAAAGTGGTTGCATCCCAAGTTGACCTGCTCTAGATCTTGTATTATCATAAAACTTTACAAAAAATTCTTCAATTTTAGTGATTCTATAAGCTAAAGCATTTAGTGTGTTTATAATAACATCTAATTTAAACTCAAGAGACTAAACCATGCTAATATCTTTACTCCTAGCTATTTAAAATAAATAAATAAATAAATAAATAAAAATCTAAATAATACTAGTTTAGAAGAGAGTTTTTTTGGAACATCTAAAGTGCTTAGATGCCTTCAAGAAGAGGACTAATCTATTCTCTATCAAGTGGGATCAAGCTCTAGTATTGATAAGAAGATAGTTTCAACAAATTGTCATGGATACACTTTATAAGAGACCAAACAAGAAATTGAACATAAGAATTTCAACAAGAAAGCTAACAAGAATCAAATTAAACCAAATGAATACAAGATCAATATCAAGAAAGATGAACTAGAATTTCATGAGATATTTTTTCAAGATTGAGAATCCCCTCAATCTTGATTCTAATATATATTATGTATTAGAAAGCTTTTTAAGAAGTTTCTATGTTGCTTGAAGATGAAACAATCCTAAGAAGCTTCTAGAACAACTTCTTTAATTCTCTCAGAACTTTCTAGAATCTGTTAGAATATGCTAAAAATCTTTGAAAATCTTCTAAGAATATTTTAAGAATTTATTGGTATTTTTTAGAATCTAACAAAATATTCTTTGAATCTTATTAAAAACTTTTGATTGGATGCCTGTAACAATTATTGCTATATTATTAAACATATTAAAGAAGAAAACTATTAGATGGATACTCCCATTTTATTATATAGACATGCTCTTGTCCAATACACCTTTGCAAAATAATTACTTATTTAATTATATTTTCTTATTATAGAATAATTATTTAATTAAAATTATATCATTAAGTAGACCTTTATTTTATTATAATATAGTATTTAATAATATAATAGAAGAAATAATTTATATATATGTATATACATATGTGTATATATATGTGTATATATACACATACAAATATGTAAAAAAATATTCACATCACATAGATAAATAGTATTAAATAAAATAGACTTATAAGTAGGTAGAAGTAGATAAAATTTTTTAGGTCAACAATGTCTTTTTCAAAAAACATTGAAGAAGCTTCTTTAATGTACATATAATATTTTTTAATATTCTTTTAGACATAAAATACAACTATCTGAACTTCTCTTAGAAGTTTTTTTTTTTTTTTTTTTTTTTTTTTATCTTTAAGAAGCTACTATAAAAGCATCATAATACTTAGATCCTTTGTCTATAAATTTTATATTTCTTACAAACCTCCTACATGGCCTTCTTATTAGTTAGCACATGTCCAGGCATAATAAAAGTTATTATTAATCTATCAATGTCTTTAACTTATTTTAGTCTTGATTTAAGATTCTATGGTTCTTTTGCATTAAATAATGGCTATTACAATTCATGTTTATCTTACAAAAATATATTTTTTTGTTTTTTAAACTTTTTCTTCCTTGACAACATACATACCTATATATGTGTGTGTGTATATATATATATATATATAATTTTTCATCTTAAAATATGTAATATAAAAAATTATAATATTTAATTCTATTATCTGTAAAAAAACATTCTTCATTAAAGTGGTTTGAACACATTGAAATATAAATTTTATATTCTTTATGTGATTTTGTCTTGTTTTGGAGTTATTATTTGTATATAGTTGCATTAAAATTCTTTTTAGGACTTATTTGAATATAGTTTTGTAAAAGAAAATCACTTAAAGATAACTTGTAAAGATTAGTTTTCAAATAACAAAATATTGACTGGTATTTGACTCAATGTCTTTTAAAAATGATTTTGAATTTTTTTACTTATAAATAAGCTTATTAGTAATTAAATACTAATTTTCTAATTCTCACACCCTAATCGTTTTGAATATTTCAGGATCAAGTACAAAGCCAAAATTAGGAAATAATATATATATTTATATATATATATATATATATAAACCTATCTGCCATGAAATTTCAACAGCATGCCTCCCATTGACTTTATGGCTTGTGTTCAAACAAGAGATTGAAAAGTAGCTACAGAATGTACCATAAGTCCATTGAAAATCCACACCCACATACAAACATATAAATAATTAAATACATAAATAAATAAATTCAAAGGTAGAAAGCTAAAGTGAACCACCGTGCGCAGAGAGAAAAGGAAAGCAAGGGGGAAAGTAGAAAAGGAGAAAAAGCAAAAGGCAGCGAAGGAAAGGGTTCACCGCCCTGCCCGACCCTGCTGCCCGGCCCTGCCCAACAAACCCTAATCCCATCTCGTGTCCCGTTTCCTTTTCCCTTCCCGTGGTCGTCATTCGTGTTCTCCTGGCTTCGTTACTAACTAGGGGTTTGTAAAACTGCACGCATTCTCACCCTCCCCGCACAATCCCACGCCCCTCTTGTCATCTCCACGCTCTCTTGCCAATCCGTCTTTCCCTTGTCGTTTCCCTCAATTGCCTTGCGACTTTCGTTTCGTTACGCTTCGGAGAAGCGCGTGGCTTTTGCGCTGCGTTTTCTGGCTGTTGATCGGGGAATCAGGCATTTCGAGATTGAGCTGACGAAGAGAAGTAGGGATTGCGAAGGTCCGAGGGAGCTCATGGAAACGCTAAGATCACATTTGTCGAGAGTGCGCATTCCTGAGCCGTCCTATCGGATCTACAAGCAAGAATGTTGTGTGTCATTTTCTACTCCGGTGAGGATTTGGACTCTCTTGGTTTCTTGTCGGTCGGGACGATTGGCTAGCGAAGTTTGCTTGTGATCGTTGGTTTAGATACATGGCGATATTCTTTGCGGAATTGGATTTGGGTGAGAATTGCGGTTTTCCTGTACGAGAGTCGTTCCTTATTTCGGGCATATTTGTAGCAGTATGGTCGTAGTTGCCGAGTGGATCAAGGTGAGAGTGGAGTATGGAGTTCATGCTTGCTTCAATTATCTTAATTCGTGAAAGGAAAGTTTAAGTCGCAGCTCCTGGTGTTGTCGGTGAATAAACTGCTAGTTGGCATGGCTTTCCGAGCAACGTATGGAAAGTGCATAGTTTCGATGAGACTATTGGTTCCCTTTCCTGCATGTTGAGAAGACTAGAAGACCGTCATGCGTTCGTTATTGTGAACACTTGGTTTACAGGAGTGCTTCAGTGGTTATTTATTGTAATTTAAAATCTCAATCTCAGAATAGTGAAGACGAGAGCTTAAATTGATTAGTAGCTCGATATGAAATGGCAGCACTTGTGAGCAAGCCGCTGCAAGTGGATTATATGGATCGACCATGATATCAGATAGTCATAATTATTCTTCTCCGATTCTCTATTGCATGTGGTCCAATATCTTTGTTCCTCAAGGGGGTACAGCTCTCCAGCGGGTCTGACCCATTTTTTGGTGGAGACCCTATACCTTTAATTTTGATTGAACCAGTGTTTTTCGTGCTGCTTGATTGGAGTTGGAACTTGGTTATTTTGGGTTGGTAAATTTGATATTGATAGTTTGATGGGTATGGAAGTTCACAGAACACCTGGGTAACAGTGTTCCCGTGTGGAGCTTAACTTGTTGAACTACTTAACAAACACTTTTCGCAAACTTGGAAGCATTATGACACCTGGCGAACGTGTGTTGTCTGCAATCAATTTTTACAATCTATAGTCTGGAAGGATGGTGCCTGATTGAGAAGCTGAATCGGGAACTAGTCGTGTAATGTCCTCATGTATTATTGCTTAGCGTCTTTTTACCCTTGTCAGCAATTAACCAGCACCTTTTGGGTACATTGGTACAGAGGTCGGAAGGAGGTTTGTTTATCGATTTGTACTCTTTTTTGGCATTTGGTAAAGATTATGTCATGTGGAATTATGAAAAAACTGGAAATCCAGTTTATCTGAATATTCAAGAAACTCCGAAGCAAGTCAGCGAGAGCCGGCCACATAAGAAACCAACACTGTTAGCTATTGGTACGGAATGTATACTCCGACACTTTTTTTTCGGCACTTTTTGCATTTTTATCGCGTGGTATAACAGCGAAAATTGCACTCTTCAATTTACAAGCACTGTCATATATTCTCCACATACATTGTTCTGTCTTTTTTTCTGATTGTATCGTGAATGGCAGGAGTCGAGGGAGGTTTCGATTCTAAAGTACCCGAGTACGAAGAGACCTATCGCATTGTTATATTGCCGGACTTTATCTCACTTTTGTATCCTAGTGTGGAGCTCCCAGAAAAGGTAGTGTAGCTACCTTGCTACTTGTTAGAGAGTTTGGTGCTACTGATAGTTTAGGTCTTATGAAAAGAGCGTGAAAAGTTCTGGTACTGCCTGCTATGCAATTGCTTTAAGCACAATCTATTTGTCTTAATTAACCTACTCGTGTCGTACCTACTTTCGATGTTTCTGGAATCCCTCGACATCTAGTTTTTACTAGTTGGGGTCGTAATCCTCGTCATGCGTAGATAATATGTTGCGAGAAGAATAAGTCTATTATTTATGAATTCATATCTGGACTTAATGGCGATCATTGTCGTGATTAATCAGGTCAGGTTGGCAGTAGATGGGATACTTGCAGCTGTTGGTGCAGAAAGGAAGGAAGAAGTCGCTGCTTGGACTGCTGACAAGAAGCAAGTAAGTCCGTATGCCTTGTCGCTGCAGCAAGTGCAAAATGGAGTGAAGGTGCCTCCCAGTGGATGGAAATGCTCTAAATGTGACAAGGTAGACAACCTTTGGATGAACCTTACCGATGGAACAATTTTGTGTGGGCGACGCAACTGGGACGGAACGGGTGGCAATAACCATGCTTTAGAACACTATCAGGAGACCAATTACCCATTGGCCGTGAAGCTTGGAACGATCACGGCCGATTTAGAAGGGGCAGGTAATTTCATCTCCTGTTAGTCTATGTAAAGGACTTGTTCTGTTCACCTGATTGGTATTTTGAGTAATAAGGCTTGTCTCCTACCAATTTCTAGCTGTCCTGTGTAGTTCTTAGGTATTTGTTTTTTGCATGCTTCACTAGAAGTTAGCGCTGAAGTTCTGAAATATGAAGGAGAAGCTGAGTTTCAAAGGCTGCTGCACAGACGTGTATAGTTATGCTGAGGACGATACCGTGGAGGATCCGTTATTGGCAGAGCATCTGGCACATTTTGGAATTGATTTTTCATCTTTGAGAAAGGTATGCATCACGATGCTTAACCATCTGAAATGTTTGTTAACTTGACGGGATAAAGGTCAAGTCTACATCCATTATCTTTGGTTGTGTGGTTCCAAGCTTCTTTGTTTAGGGATTTTACGTTTGTTTTATTTTACTTTTGTTACTGCATCATACTGATGCTACTGAACTGGATTGCTCGTTGCAGACAGAAATGACAACTGCTGAGCGGGAGTTAGATCAGAATACCAATTTTGACTGGAATAGAATTCAAGAGAAGGGAAAGGAACTAGAGCCGCTCTTTGGGCCGGGTTTTACTGGGCTTGCTAACCTCGGTAACAGGTATGTGTCACGGATTGGACAGGATGAAATGTTCTGAAATGTGCTGCGAGCTTTTGTCCTTTTGTTTCGAGAGCACGGCTCCATGAGTGGGGCTGCACAATCGCTGCTCCTCAGTGGGTTTGAGAATTTGTTTGTTCTTGATTATTATTATTATTATTATTATTATTATTTGCTCTAATATTGACTTAACAGTTATTTATTTATTCCAATTTCATTTCCATATATCAAATTGTTACTTGCGGTTATTGAGGACTGATATATAAACATACATGCAGCTGCTATTTGGCGTCAGTCGTGCAAGCGGTATTTTCAACCAAAGATTTTCAGAGATAGTAAGTTGCTGTATTTTTCATTGATGTTGCTTTCTTCATCCTGTTATGCAATAGATCGTTACGCTAACTTGATATAGTTCATGTCTTTTTGCATCTGTAGCTTGTTAGTGTAAAAAATTATTTCAGCTTGTATGGTTTGCAAGTAAAGTCTGATACCATGCTGAAGGATTTTTGCAGTTACTATGAAAATGTGAAGCTAGATGATGCTTTCAAGCAGGCACCTGCGGATCCTACGCTTGATCTTCATATGCAACTGTATGAACTACATCCTTATTCCCCTAATGTTGTGAAGAAAAACGAGTTCGATATCCTCTATTCGTTTTGAAGTCATTCTTTTTTAAGTTCAGAGTTGAGTGAAGTTCTAATGTTGAGCGTATTTTACGTGAATCTGAGGCATTCAGTATTCGGTGAAGTTGTAGTTTATCGTAAAATAAGTCTTAGGCGTTCAATGTCTAGTGCTTCAAAGCGACGTATTCATTTGCGAATATCTGCTCAATCGACGACTTCAAATTCTTCATCTGTTACTGGTTTTTTGAGCTGTTAAGATGCTTTGGACTTTTTCCCGAATTTCATGGGTGCCGCCAACTTTCCTGGACGTGTCAATTTGATAGATGTCTTTATGTTTACTTGCTTAATTTGTTCCTCCCCCATACTTGGAGCATAATGTAGATCATAAAAATTATGTATGTTGTTCATGTGCAGCTCAAAGTTGGCACATGGAATATTGTCTGGAAAGTACGCAGTTCCTTCAAAAAAGGTATCTGGGCTGTGATGATTTGCGTTTATCGCACTGCCTGCTTCTTTATTTATACTTTTTGAATTTCTTTGTTATATCACTCACGAATTGAACATATCCATCAATTTGTCTGTAAGATATCAATTTACAGATATTTTTGTTGAGCAAGGTAGTTGTTGCTGTCTTTAATTGCCAACTATTGCTAATGATTCTAGTTGGTTCATTTCCTTAGGGGCAGGACAATGAAGTCGCTGAGGAACCAAAAGGAAAAAATGTAAGCAGAGAATAAACGTATATTAATTGTGAGAAATATTTTGTTCTTTGCAGTTTTAAAAAGTTTTCCTCATTCCCTTCAAGGTTCCGGTCGAGTCTTGTCGCAATGTTAACAAATTTTGAATATTTCTCAATTTTTATGTGCATATTTATAACATGTGACCTTGATGTACGTCAAGTTGAGTGCGCGGTTTTAGGATTGTGCGGGAATTTAAACCAGACACTGTCGATGCAGGCCCTCACATCTATGTTGCAGGGACAAGATGGGATACCACCTCGCATGTTCAAGTCTCTCATTGGCACTGGGCATCCAGAATTTGCAAGCTCCAGACAACAAGTATACTTCGGCACTTTGATCTACAGAAGTATTGATCTGTGTTGAAGTGATACGAATGATCTTCTAAATCTACGTAGGGAAAATATGCGTGGCACGTACATCTTTCTGATTCGTCGGTGCAGTTGGAGCTTTCGTTTAGATGTGAGCTCGATACTGTGAACTGTTTCTTATTGATATTTTTTTGTTTTCCTTTTTGGCTGTTAGGATGCTTTGGAGTTTTTCCAGCATTTTCTTGATCAAGTGGAGCAAAATCATGTTGCTGCAGTTGGAGAAGATCCAGCCCGGTGCTTTAAGTTCTGTGTGGAGGAAAGAATTATGTGTTCTGTGTCTAAAAAAGTGAAATATACAAAGAAAACAGATAATATTCTCTCATTAAACATACCGTTGAGAGCTGCTGTCAACAAAGGTGAGCGTTTATTGTTTTTCTAACCTCAATCGCTTGGCTAAAAAGTCGTGAAGTCCTGATGTTTATCCTACAATTCTGGTGGTAGGTTAGAAGATATAATTATGTGTGCGGCGCATTATAGGTCTTAGAAGTGTTACTATCTATGTATTGAGTTGACTTGCTGTGGTGGTTCATTGTGCGTAGATGAAGTGGCTGCTTATGAAAAAAATTTGGCACAGAAAGAGCTTGCTGGCGAGAAGTTGTAAGTAGTCTCTTTATTGTAGATTTCATCTAGATTAATCATCTGGTGAATTTAGTCACCTTTGTGGGGACGATAAATGCCTGTCGTCAATTTTATCCTTTTTGTATTCCTTTATTTGGTTTATTCTTACTGAAGATAATAGATTTTAGGTCATGTGATGCTAAGCTAGAATCAAAAATAGTTGTATATGTGTTCCTCAATATGGTGGAATTTGTTTGCTATCCACCAGAAAGATCATCTCCTAGCAACTGAATGTTCTTCTATTGTTCATATTGCACAGATCTGATGAAGAAATAGTCCGTCCAAGAGTTCCACTGTCTGCATGTTTGGAAAATTTCTCTGCTCCAGAGGAAGTCATGGATTTCTACAGCAGTGCCATCAATGCAAGAACAACAGCAATCAAGTACAATTCTGGACCGTTTGCCTATGTTCTTGTCCAACAAGGACGGTTGCCTGGATGTTTGGAAAGAAGAATCCTTGAACAGTATCTTGCTAGTGTATTATCTGCGATCGTTTGCCACAAGGGATAATTGGGAATAAACTGAATACATTTTCAATTTCCCTTTTATTCTCGAACGAATTTTGGTCGGCTTTCTTCTTCTTCTTCTTCTTCTTCTTCTTCTTCTTCTTCTTCTTCTTCTTCTTCTTCTTCTTCTTCTTCTTCTTCTTTTGTTTTATTTTTTTTCTTTTTAATACTTATTCTGATCAATATCTCAGTCCTTACATTCATACATATGCCTTAAATCTATAAGCATCATGTACATTTATCAAGTATCATGTTATCACGTAAGCGCGCGTTAAGGAATAGAATCATATTGTTTGAAGAGTTTCGCATGAGATGCCTTAATCTATTTCGATTCCGAGTTGTGGTCTTTGTGTGGTTGATTTGGTATTTGGTTAACGATAAATTATAAATTAGAAGTGGCAAATTGTTTGTTATTGCAGGACAACAAGATTGGCTACATTCCCTGATTACTTGGTACTTCATATGAGGAAGTTTGTGTTGGCAGCGGGCTGGGTTCCGAAGAAGCTTGGTATGTATCCTAGCCTGCTGGAAGAGTCTGTGTTTTTCCTTTCCGCAAGTTGTCTTCTTATTGTAAGGGTCCTTGGGGAAATAGCTAGTAAACTGTTGAAGTGGACTTGGTTGCAGATGTTTTCATAGATGTACCCGACGAGATTGATATTAGCGACATGCGTAGTAAAGGACCGCAGCCAGACGAACAATTTCTGCCTGAGACACCTGGTGCGCAATCTTTCTTATCACGGAATGCCAGTCCTTGCCTTATTGGATTACGAGTGTCTGTTGGCAGCAAAATCATTTGAGACTTTTTGAGTTGGACTCTTTAATTAGCTACGTTATGAGGTGAATGAAATGGTGGAAACATGTATTATTGCCACAGATGGAATTCCAGAGCAGGTTGACTCAGCTGCAGATGAGGCCATAGTGTCTCAATTGGCAGATATGGGATTCCCTAGGATCCGATGCGAAAAAGCGGCTATTCAGACGCTCAATAGTGGACTTGAAGAGGCTATGAACTGGCTTCTGGTACATATGGATGATCCAGGTTTGTTGGCTTGTGCTTTCTTCCTTTTATGAGCTTTTGGCGTTGTGGAGTTGTGCTGAGATTGTTCAAAATGATAACTCTTGCAGGATTAAGTTCCCGAAGTTTAAGAAATCTGAAACATCTACGTATTTAACTCTCAAGCATTAATGACATCGGTGGCTTTGAATTTCACGTGCTGGTAGAGGCCATGAAATTCTCACAATCCTACAATGCATCATAAAATGCGACACCACTAGTTTTTTGTTAGATCTTCCTGAAGCAGACAATTATTAACCCTTAATTGAAGAGGTTGATATATGAAGTCGAAGATAAGCCTGTGTTGTTGCAGCAGTAGATTTGAGTTTGTGTGTTCATTCTCTCAGTTAACGTAGGCTGTTGGATATGTTGACCAGATATCGATGACCCTATCACTAGGGTGGGAAATAATGAAACATCAAGTGTTACTGCGTTGAACGAAAGTGACGTAGAAACTCTTGTATCGTTTGGGTTTCTGCCCGAAATGGCTCGAAAAGCATTGAAAGCAACGGTAGGTGGCAATTAATTGTGTATATGTTTTGGTAAATATGTCTTTCATAATCTTGCCAGCATTTATATCCATGTATGTTACTGACGTGTATTGATCTATGAATCAGGGAGGTGACATGGAAAGGGCAGCCGAGTGGATCTTGAACCACCCTGAGGAGTCAATGGCAATGGAGCTAGATGTTGGAGCTTGCACTCAAGATACTCAAGCAGAGGTCAAATATCCAGATGGTTCAGGAAGTACGCTATTCGGAACTTTGTCTGAGTTAATGATGCACTTGTCCACAAATAATGTGTAGAAGTTTTATTTGAGGAGACCTTCAGATCTGGTAGCTACTGGCATCACAGGTATAATTTCCTGGCTTTTAAAACTTGCTGTTTATATGCTGCAGAATACCGACTTCTAGCGTTTGTGAGTCACATGGGGACCTCAACACAAAGTGGACACTACGTTTGTCACGTCAGGAAAAACGATCGTTGGGTTATTTTCAATGATTGCAAGGTTGCGGTTTCAGGAGATCCACCTAAAGACATGGGTTATCTTTATTTCTTTGAACGCGTTCCTTCTTAAACACGGAGATTACTTGAAGTGTTCACAAATTTTGATCAGTAGCTGGGATCAACCCTAAGGAAAAGCATGAATGCTAAGTGAAGAGCTGCAGTTGACATGTGTAGGAGGTAATGAAACCTCTGGATTCATGTAGAAGTTGCCAGAGGGAGGGGGTACCATTCTTTCAAATTCTTCGATTGGAATCATTCACTTACTGCTCCCAAATAGATCGGATCTTCAAAGTAAGGGGAAGGTCTCGACCAACATGTTCGTACATGAAGGATGTTCACATGTATATTGTTTCACGTGGCAGTCACCTTGCCGAAGTTTAGGAATTTATAACGGACAGGTCGGAGGGGTCTGGACTACTTTTAAGCCAACATTTGCATCTTCTCGCGTATGTGACCACTTCTGTGATGCAAGCAGATGCATGATGACCTGTTTCCTGGTTTTGGGAATTGTTGAGATCCATCTGATTCTAATTTCATTGAGCACTCCATATTCTGTTGCAGCAACAGCCCAGCAGCCATACTCCTTGACTAACCACTTTAGGTGTGAGACGGTCTTGGAATGCAAGGCGGTGTCTTGTACTTGATGTGCATAAGAGATTAATTTTTTACTGTTCTATAAAGTAACAATTTCTTTTATTAAAGACCAATGAGAACTGTTTCATATAATGGTTGACAAGGTACCTTTAGTCTAGTTTTTTTGTATGTTTGTGTTTTTCCTCATTAATAATTAAGTTTTAAAAACAATTTAGATAATAAAATACAAGCCCTGAATGAACAACGAATTATCACATTCTCCAACTTGGTCACAAGATTTTTATTTTTTTCCATTCTATTTATGACATAGGCTTACCATCACATTCTACTAATCCTGCTTAAGACATATTATTTTTTTTGTAATACTTTCTAAATGTGGACCATGTCAAAATACCATGTGCATAAATACAGTCATCTGTAAAGATGATCCAAATCTACCTATTTTATACTATATACTGACATACATATATACTTCTTAAATATAAGAATAGAACATACTTAATATAAAACATGGTACAAAACATCTTAACTCCTTATGTATGTAAAGATGAAGGTAAAAGTACTATGCAAAAAAAAGCTACTATTGCATGCTACGGATTTACAATGTTATGTATTATCAAACCTTTTAAGGTTCTCAACACATGAATTTAATTATCTTGTTTAATCTATTGCCAATTAGGTGTTGTGCTATCTAAGATTTATTCTACTTTGTCAAGAGAGTAGACTCTTATTTGGGATGTTTTTCTAGTTTTTTCTTTATAGCCAATCAACTTATTTGATCATATTCTATCAACCCTCTTTAAATCAAGCTTCTTAAATGGAAGTCATTCCATGCTTCTTTTTTTAATACAAAATTATTTCTTTGAATCCAAATGGTCCATAAACAAAGTCCTTTTAGCAATAACCATATCTTATAGAAACATTTAAATTGGTGGGAGATTTTTTTGGAAAAAATAGCTTATTTTTACAAGAATGCTTTCCATGAATCCCATTTCTATAGATTAGATAGCTTGCATAAGATTAAGGTGGTCTAGTTCCAAATTTATAGACATGATGACACTCTCAAAATTTATCTACTATAATCTTGGGCTTTTATGGATAGCACAAGACATAGTGAATGTTAACATGGGTATTAACTTGTCTTCTCCAAATATTAAATGCAACACCCTTGTGCCATAGAATCTATATAAATATTGTATCTTTTTAAACATAAGGTTTGGTCTATATATCATTCCATTGGAATGGAAAATCTTGTTCTAATAAGAAGCTCCATTTATTGGTTGCAAGGTTGGTTGTAGGATTACTTCTTTGAAGTAGCTTTTGCTCAAATTTAGCCAAGTATTCATTAATTTGGAAAATTTTAATTTTTATATGTTGCAATAGAAAGAACCATTTGTCTTCTTTGATTCTTTTATGTTGGATAGATAATTAAAGACTATTGTTTAAAGCTGGTCTTCTTTTAATGTATATAAGCTAATGTAGTCTTGAGATTTTAGTAAAGAATTATCTTATTGGAGTACAATCTTCCATATTTTGTGAAAATAGTAATGTGAGAAAGTCCATATATAATAAATGTCTAATATGATTTGATATTTGGAAAGAATTTCTTTTCTTAGAAAGGCAATTGTTGGATTTTTTAAAAAGGATTTTGAATCTTTAAAGACCATTAGAGCATAAAGTTGCAACTTAATGAAAATTTAAGTGAAAGTAAATAAATAGAAGTATGAAATCCTACCAAAGAAATTTAATCCAAACTTCATAGAAAGAAGTTGGAGAATAAAGCCTTAAGTACTCATACATTTGTGTCTAGACTTTACCAATTTTGTTCCATATTTTAGTGACATGGTACTATTTGTGTTTTAGAATTAGTGTCTACACATAATCTAGAAGCCATTGACATTAAGTAGTTTGTTTGGCATTTATCATTTTGTATCTAAAGAATTGTTGAAAACTAACATGTCTTAGTTGTAGGGCTTCAATTATCTATTTGATCATAAAATCTTTTATAGCTTCTTCTAGGTCAATAATATCAAGTCTATCTTTGGCACAATCATTATAATATATTGACCAAATTACTTTGAACCAAATTAAGAGAGAAGTGTATTTTCATAAGTTTTTTTAATCATAGATTTTATTTTATAAATTACCTTCAAAGATCTTATCCAATTTACTAAAAATAAATACAGAAAAATTATAGAATGTTATTTATTATAGTAACCTTGTCAACCACATTGATTTAAGTAGATCACTAATAATTAAATTTATATATTATTCTATCAATCAAGAATTGATGAATATCTTCAGTACATAAGACTAGGCCAAAACATGTGCTTAGTTTCTTGTTGATATTGTTAAGAGAAGCCCACGCCTATCTAAAGTTATTGATCTAGTCAAGTCTAATAGTTTTTGAAATTGCCAATATAGGGCAGATTTGGAGCAATTAATTTCTATACCAAAGACGAAACTGAATTATTTCATGATTTTTATGAAGGCTTGTAGATTTTTCATCTTTCCTTTGATGGTGATGGTAGAGTCATTTTCATATTAATATATGACTTATTAATCAAAGTTCCATAGAATATTAATGCTATAGGATTTTTGTTCTTTGATTGTGTTTTAAATAACTATTTTGAAAATTTTATGATTAGGAATAATGAAGTGAGGAGCATCCTTATCTTACTCCTCTTTCAATTAGATTTATTATTATAATAATAATAATATATTTTTTTGTTGGTAAAAAATTTAATTATATCAATTATAATATTTATAATTTAAAAAATAAATTTAATCAAGTGAAAAAATTAAGCATTGAATCTCAAGTTTTCTATTACTTGTAATAAGAAATCTCAAGAGACTTCATCATAAGTTTTGAAATTTTTTTTCTTTTTTCAAAAAAAAAAAAATAGTTAAGAATTTTGTATAACTTATGATTTTTTAATTAACTATTATATTATCAAAAATATATTGTAAGCAAAGCGGCCATTTGATTTGGATGAATTACTTCCATGAGTACAAATTGAGGGTGCTTTTGAATAATCTTACTATGTGTTTTGTAACAGGTATTGAATAGGATAATAAAATATCAATTTTTTAATCTAGTTATATCCTTTCTTTTATATAAGAAGATGATATGACCTTTAATAACACTTTGAAAGAAGTAAACTTTTTCTAAAGCTCAATTAGACATTGTTATAAAATCTTTTCCAATAATATATCAAAATGTGAAAAAATATTTGGTTCTAACTCTTAGTCCATATGCCTTATTTTTTTCTATCTCTCCTATTATTTCTTCAAATTTTTTGAAATAAAGAGAATTAGATAGATTTTTATTAATTCAAGTAGTAATTTTATATATGTTACTATTTAAAAATCAAGAAGATGCTTCTATTGATTCTAAAATCTCTTATTATTTTTGATACATGTGAGTAAAAATTGATACATATGTTGTTTAGATCATATGGCTTCTTTGATAAATTACTTTAGAATTTTTTTAGTATTATGATATCAAATCTAAAATATAATATTATGACTATTTTGAAGAATTTCTTAGCATTACTATTACTAAATTATCTCCAACAAAACCAAGCTCTAATTCTATGACCTTGTTTCTAATGTTTAATTTGATTGACTTAGTATTAGGTTTTTTCAATCCAAATTTGTACATTGTGTCTTATGGAGTTGCTGAAAGATTTAAGTGTGCATGTTGTAATTGACTTCGAAGTTTGATAAGGTACTTTTATCTTAAGGCAACTTATTCTTTATATTTTTAAAATAAAATATCAAAATTTTATTTCTAATTATAAAAAGCCTTTAAGTCTATATTAAGATCATATTTATCTAATAAGTATAATTTAAGAATTACTAAAACAAAACATATTTATTTTGTGAATTTATTGTCTTGGTTTTGATTTTTTAACTTGCAATATGAATTCTATCAAAAGATAATTAAATAATGCATTATTTGTAAGGAACAACAACTCAAAGAATGTAAATAAACAACAACGATGTATATCAAAGAAATATGAAAAAAGAAATAATATATATATTCAAGAAGAAATTAAAATAGCCATTGCCATAGATAAGAAGACTTAAGACTCTTGAAACTAGATTAGAAGTAAAAAATGTATTGAAAAGAGTGAAAAAGATCTCATTTTTGCCTCCATATATACTATCCAACAAATGTTATGTAGTATATACTATACGCTAAATCAAACCATAGTTGATTTTTTTCTTGATATTTGTTAAAAGTTTATATGTTTATGGTATCAATAAAATCTTCTAAAATACTATTTAGAGTAATTCAAAGGGCTCTATCATATATAAGAGATTCAAAATTTTGAATTCAATATTTGATAGAAGAAAAGACAAGAATACATACTTTTTTAAGTCAATTTTAATTCAAATTATAAATATTTTCATAAACAGCTTCTATAATAAAGAATTAGTATTTGGTTAGAAGAAATTTCTCAATTCTTATTTTGTTGTATTGCAAAATTTATGTTCTTCAACAAAAATAATATAATAATATCAAGAAATACTTTGAATATGATTTTGGAATTTTAGAATTTTAAATGGATTTTTTAATCCACAAATATTATAAAAAATTAATGTGTTGTATATATTTCTTTTTAAAACTACGTGTGGTAAATTTTTGATCAGATTTGGTGTGAACTCTTGTATTCTTAGTGATAATTCCATCAATTACTATTAATTATAGCTTCTAAAATAATCTTTTGTTATCAATAGTCTTAGTAGGAGCCTAAATAGTGCTATCTTGACTTAAGTATTTATAGACATTAAGTCAAAACTAAAGCAATTGTAATCCAAAACATGAATAATTATGTCATCTAAAATTACGAATCAACTACAAAGCAAAGGATTTTTTTGAATCAATAAAATTAGTTTGTTGTCTCAATTTTTTCTTTGTTGATAGAATATTTTTACGATTAATATTCCATCAACTTGATTTAACAAGAATTCAAGACATTTAAAAAAGACTTTTATTTTGTTGTCTTAATAACTAATAGAATAAAATGAATTGGCAGTTTTTTCTTCAAGGTTACAAAAATAGATCTATCATCATTAAAAGACCATAAATAGATAAAATTGAGACAAATTGAATAAATAATAAATATCATGTAATAAATTTTATATAATAAATATATGTAAAAATTCATATAATTTTGAAGGCATTAATAAAATGTATTTGATCATAGGTGCAAGAAAAGATTAGAAGTTGGTAATTTTAAGTTGGTTAGGATTTTTGCAATGTATGGAGTTTTACTTGTTAGAAGAAGATGTCACAAACATATATATATCAAGACTAGTATTTACTTAGATAAGAAAAATTAGATAGAAGTAGTTTAATTTGATAATATCTTTTAAAAATACTTTTAAAAAGCTTTATAGATGCAAATTTGACTTTCTAAATGTTTCTAGGTAATTGATGGATTGAAAGCTTGGCCACCAAGTTGGCCATTTGTTGCACATATTGACCACTTTCTTTAAAAGTTGGTCACATGTTGTATATGTTGGCTAGTTGTACAAGTTAGCCATGTTTCACACATGTTAGAAACATTCTTTGTATGTTAGATACATAGCCTATATGTTGGACACACATTAGATGATTTGTGGAGTACTACCACCTAATTCCTTAGTTATGTGCTCATAAAATTTCTATCTAATCTAACATATATAATATATATAGAGGCAATATTGTGGTCTTTTTTATTTCATCTATGTCATCTTTTTTTGAGACACAACTCACTTGTTTATTTATATTCTTTAGGTTCTTGTCTTTGAAAGAAGTTAGAATTTGGTATACACTTAGAAGACTCAAAGGTCAAGTTATACACTATTTTTGAGTAGAAGTTGATAATTGAAGAAGGATAAGTTTTTCTTAAAACATCTCCATTAACTTTAAAATTGGTAGCTAAAGAAGATTTTTTTTATTTTATTTTTTATTTTTTTACAATCTATATGTTGGATAGAAATTTTTTATCACATAGAAAAATTATAGAAAAATCATTATTTAAAATTTGGACCATCAAGTTATGATGTAGAGCTTGTTTGAGCTTACTGATTAAGGTGAAGGTTGTAAGAAAAATTTGAAGTTCTAAAATACTAAAAGTAATAAGAAAATTTGTACTTGTATTTACTTGAAGTGATTAAGTAAATTGATAATAAATTGATATATTTAAGTAATCAATAGATACAAAAAAAAACTTATTAGTTATGGATTTATCACTTTTAATTTAAGCTTCCAACTAACTCCCAAATCTATGGCTATGCAAAAACATGGCTTTAATGGTTGACGCTCTTTTCTACCTCTTTATGTTAAAAATAAAAAATAAAAATGTTATCACAAGTACAAGCACTCTTTGTTAAATAAATATTTTAAATACAACTTGGTAGAAAAAATGTAAATTGGATAAACTCTGGAAAAAAAAAAAAAAATAGGCTCTATATTTTTTGAAATTTCCTATTGTTTGGTTAATAGAATTTGGTAGGTAAGAGTTAGATCTGACAAAACCTCAATTGACTAAGAATTAAGCAACATTCTTTATATTGACATAATATTTCATAATTTGTTGTATAATAAATTGCTTTGATTTTTATGAATGAAAAATTGAACTACTATTGTTATTTTTTTGCTAATACTCACTATTCTCTTTAATCTTTCTTGTTAATGTTCTCAACAAGTTTATATAAAGATGGCTTGAATTTGCTAAGTAGTTTATACATGCCAGCAAGGACCTAACTAGTTACTTCCTCATGTAAATCAACCTTACTAGCACTAATGGCCAAATCTAAACCATTTGATTTGACAATGCTGTCACAACCACCTCAATCTCAACTTGCAAAAAAAAAACTTGAGTTTAATAGTAAGGGCCAAAATGTCAAAGTTTAGTTGCAAATGCTTGATTAAAATCTTTTGTTTTGTATCTATTTTTTTCTTTTCTTCCAAGCATTAGCTAATGTGCAAATTTTGTTTTAGTGAACATTCAGAATTTTGTTCATTTTAGTGTTGTTTACACGAAGTAGGAGAATACTCAAGCTGCCCAATTGCTTGAAGAAAGCAACATTCTACACAACTATTCTTAGATCTGATTATAGCTTCATAAAAAAATTTGTGTTTGTTTCTCTATAATTTGTATTTGTTTGTTGTTCATTCTTATATATATTACTTGTGGTGAAAAACAAGTTTGTAACTCATTTGTAATTTTTGCTGTTGAATTGTACTTTGCAACTAGTAATTTCCTATTTATTAAAGTGGTTTTGTCAAATGCTTGTCTTGAATTCTGGATTGAATTCTGGATTGAAAGACTTCTTTTTACGTTTAAAGAACCAACTGGGCATCATTTATGTAAACCTCTAAAATAAATAAATAAATATATATATATATATATATATATATATAGATACCTTTTATTTTATTTTTAATTTTACCTTGAATGTTTATAAATTAAGTATTAAATGATAGTATCTATGTGCACCATTTGTTTTTGTAAATTTGTAAACTTTAATCAAAATAAAAGTAGTAACTAATTCATCTGTACTCATTTTTTAGTAACTTTGTAAACATTAACATTATCAATTCAAAGCACATTGGACAATACCCTATGATGCGTTTACATATCATTGGCTTGCTGTTACGATCGACTGAAATTCCAAAAACGAAATTGACAAGATGACAAATGCACTACTTGATGCATAGCACCATTGTTTGGTTACTGGCTCTCAAGAAAGGCTTAAACTCTATTCCTTCTCCTTGACCTTAAGCAACTTCATCAATTTGATGTTAGACAAGACAGAAGCAGTTATCCATGGGAAGCTGAGCAAAGGACGTGGTGAAGACTCACCAGAGTTTTCAAAAATTTCGAGTGCCTTCTGTTTCCACTCCGGATGGTAGGTCACATGGTACCACGCAGAGGCCTTTGCGGCAAAATCAGTTGGGCCCTTAATCTCTGAAGACGAACTCTCTACCATGTCTTCACTATAACCATCAGGATCAAGACCTTTTTTAAGCCCTTCAAATTGAGCTCGGAATTCTTCGTAAAGAACCCCATAAGATTGGGCAAATGCATCTCCCCGGTTCCGATTAACAGATCTGAGGCCAGGAGACCCGCGCTTCAACCAGCTTGCAATAAGAGCTGCCTCTCGCTGCACATTGAAGTGAGTCATCATACATCGCAATTGCCGGTCGTAAGATATTTTCTTTGTCCATGCGTCGTCTAAGTATACTTCATATCCAGGTACTTGGAGATCGTAGTCATATATTGAATCCAAGTCGACAGCGTTATCTGCATGCTGGTGCTGCTCAACTTCCGCCTTCAAGAATTTGGTGACTGACCTGTAAAGTTCTCCGATTACTTTGTTTGATTGGTAGGTGACAGCACCCTCTTTCTCCATAAAATCTGGCCATTCATTTACCCTCAAATCATGTGGCATGGTTGCATTCTTCCCTGTTTTGGGGAAGTCCACCGCGATTGATGCCAAGTGGGCAAGACGTAGACAATCACTGTCCAAAGCCCCTTCAGGACTCTTGTCTGCACGAGCTACATGAGCATTGGATATAAATCCCAACTTATCGTTCATCATGGAGTTCACAAAAAAATTCTTCACATCCTGCAACCAAGTTTTGAATGTCTCAGTCAATGGGTTCGATTTCATTTCAACAAAAGATAATATGAAGTAGCCAGTATAGCATAGTGGTTCGAGCATAATAATAAAGATGTCAGGTATGAAAAATATGTTGGTTTACAGCGGTGTAAGGAAATTTTTTTGACCCTTGCAACATGAATCTGGATTCTAAATGATTACTTCGGGTCCCATGCAAAATAAGCATCTTTTTTGCCATGTACAGTTATTCGAGCAAATATTAAAAGTGATTTCTCACATAAACAGCAAAGAAAATGCATGTAATCATGAATTGACGCATATACAATCTGTCGCTACCTTAATGTTGGCAGGCCTGTATAGTATCTTGGAATCATGCGCAGCATATTCCATAGGCTCCCAACTTTCTCCACTAGGTGGAATCAAATTCGGGTCCCAACAAGTGAAGTATACATCCCCATCCAGATCACTGCCAGAGACCTCATTTGGATGCGGTCTTGGTCCATTCTGTGGTAAAACCAAGCAGTCGACCATGCTGTGCAATTCCGGCAGATCCACTGCTTCCAGTATGCGGATATCTCCAGGATGCAAGCATGGATTTTTTACCATAATAACCTTTCCCGTGATCACCTGAAATCCAAAGAATTTTCTCATTTACATTAAAAATTTCGGAACGGGAAGGAGGGAGACCGAGGAGATCACATTCCTGGTCAAAATTTCACTGAAATTATATCCATAAACCACCATACAAATGGCTCTGCAACGATAACACGAAGTTCGAGGCCTCAAGGTGTTCCACAACCAAAGCAAAAATGATGACAAGAACAATGAACATACCTGCAGGAGTCCACTATGTCCCAGATTATTTCCATCTCCTCCAAGGCAGGCCTTGCTTACAGGGCCAGATACATGAATGAAACATTGCCCGTAATTCAACAACCCAGTCTCGTCCATACACCCAATGACCCAACGTCCATTAGGTACAAATATTCTAGCCTTTGAAACTAAATCCTCCAGCAGGCTGAACTTGATAGAGACCAGTAATTCATAGAGATGAGGCTCCTTCAAAGGGAGAAATCCTCCGCGAAGCATAGTGGCTGCTGTAGAGTGAGAATCAGAGCAGCTAGTAGTTACAATCTCATAAGCTTGATTTGGATCTCCAAGCATAGCCTTCAAGCGTGCCACCTGAGCATCTTGAAGTGATTTGAAGACTGCATTCTCTACTTTAAGGGTGGAAAGAAGACATATTATTTGCCGGTTCAAGTAGCAGGGAAGGTACTTAGACCAGTTTACGACTTCCAGCTCCGTATGCCCCGATTCAAACTTCTTCATGCTGTCTCGCAATCCGAGGTGAGAGTGCCGGCCTGGAATAGGCCATGTAGATACTACTCCTTTATATCCCGCGTAACGTATCTGATATACAGAGGGTGTATAATCCAACTTCAAGCTTAGAGAGACTCTAAGTGCAAAATCCGGAGCAATCATTCCACATCCGTCACTAAAGATGTACCCATTTCGAACCACATCGGGAAGTTTCCGCACCATCGCCTTCAGAACGGGGAGGGTTGGAAAAGAACATGAGAAGCACTGCCCCATGCGCGCTGCATACTTAGCAACATTTTGACTTGGAAATTTTCCCATCCATTGCCTGATTAGATGGGTGTTTACATTGCCAGTGCTTGCAAAAAACCAAGCAGAGCCACCACGCATCTGGCTGGAAGAAAATGCCAGGAACGAGTATTGCCGACCGCAGAGCTTGAAGCCATTTTCTACTATGTCTAGAATCCTTCTGTGAATCTCAGTGCGGTTATACTCATATGTACTAGACAAGCAACGTACGCTGCGTGAAACTGGTACAGTCAAAGAACCTGGGGATATTTGGTGAAGATCCTCATCCACAAAAGAAACTCTCAGGAATCGGTCTGATAGAGTGTGGTAATGGCGGAGCACTCGATTGGACCTTGATACCACTGGCAAAGTGCAAATTCCTCTGGTTGGTGTGAATAGTACTCGGTACATCAATATACTCCCAAATGCGAGAGCCTTCTCACCTTGCCTAAACTTGTCATTCTTGCGCGTCCATTCCTGAACTTGTTGGACTCGCAGAACAGCATTAAAGACAGGGTGGGTGTAAGTGAGCATATGCTGCAAAGCGAAAAGTGACACAGCACGATCAGACATGACAGTCTCGTAAAACTCCTGAGTCAAGCTTGTCATGTTGATTATACCCCGGTGTACCAGAGCATTTACCAAAAACATTAGTTCAAAAGGGACGCCTTTCTGGTGGTGGACAAAAAAATAATTCTGCCCTTTTTTACAATCAATCTCTTCGTAGAGAAAGTTCAGATTCTGAAGAACTGAGCCGCACAACCTTTGCTCCATGAAAAAGTCCATCATCCGCCGGAACGGTGTGTATTCAGTAGGACGGACACTGATGATATAAGTCAGACATCTGCCGATACTCCTGTGGGGAGAGAAGTCGACTGTACGAATCCACGGGTCCTCATCATCTGGAAGTGGAACAGGAGTAGTGCAGTAAACGCCGTCACCTTGACTTGTTCTGTAACTGATAAGCGGAGGTGAAAATAGCTGCATTACTATCATCATTTCTGGCATTCGACCCCTCTGTGTCTGAATCTTTCTCACTTCTTTAACTGATAGCTCCAGCTTGAATTCACATGGTTCTGTATCTTGTAAGTTTGGACTCATGACCTTATCATAAGAAAAGAACAGAAACGTTTTCCCTCGCTTTTTGCTTATTCGAAGACTGCATTCGTATCCTGGTACCCTCCAGCTCAGTAAAAAATCTTGTGGGCCGATGAGAGTCCCCAGTTGCAGTTGAACTCGTCTCAGTTCAATTACCTCTCCTGAGATCCAAGGGGCAGTCATTCCGTTAGAGTTCTATCTGTTTCCAACTAAGAATTTTTGGCGTACTTCTATTTAATGTCTCGTACTGTTCTGAACACCTTCAAGATAAGATCCAGATTCAAATTAGAATTCGGAGGAAAAAGCCAGATAACTTGCGGAATTCAGCACAGCCATGATTCCGTTTCAACACTTCGATATGCATGACGTGGCATTCATCAGCAAGTGCAGCCCGTTCCAGGCCTTTTCGACGTTAAATAGGTAAATTTCACATCACGTTCGTGTTGGACTCAAGATAAATGGAATCTCTAAAGCATTTGATACCAGTAGAAGTCGCAACAATTTTTGCTCAAGATTTGAATGACAAGCTACCTCTTTGGCAAACTTCTGAGCTTCCTTGACTGGTGCACGGAACTATCTTCAACTTACAGTCCTGAAAAATGAGACGCCCACATTCTGCATCGTGACAGGCTTGTTTAGCTACTGTGGCTGACAAAAACTTCACAAATGCATACGGACGTGTAATTTGCTTCACTTTGACCCTATCCACTATACCCAACACACTGCGCAGATAGGCAGCTAAGTCCGCCGCTTCTGCGCTCGATGGGAAATTGCTCACGATCACTTCAGTCTGCTCCATGTTGATTCTTTTTCATATGCAGCGACGGATCACATTTATCGTTGTCAGTATGAGTATTGATGCTGTGACATAGTTCACAAACACCAAACCCAAGTAAGGATCCTGTAAGGGGGAAGTGACATGAAAAATACTCTGCCCTGACGAGAAGCAATCTCCGAGGCTTGTTTTAGGCTTGTTTTAGGCTCTGAAATCAAGGTGTCACGATGTTCTTGTGACAACTTAACAAAATGGAAGATTTACTATCTCTAATCTTGTTATCCTACGGCACTGTAAACACAGAAATTCTACAACCTACTTGAATTTTGAAGATGTTATAGCATTTCTTCTGAGTGGAGTGAGAAAAACATGTGACTTGTAAGAAGATGCCATGCTTACATAAATCAGGATAAGGGAGATTTTGAGCGTTCAAACATAGTCCTCACTGCTTAGGTTATCAAAATAAAGGCTACCTGCTCATCAGGAGGTCGTAAGTAATGTCGGGGATAGCTCCACAAGTTTTAATGTCCGACTCCTTGTTACCCGCCGATCACCTGGAACACAAACTCTTACTACAATCTTTTCTAAGCAAGTATGAGGTGCCCCTACCATTCTTAATTCGTTGCTAAGTTTGAATTTCTTGGTAATCCAACATAACTGGAACATGCAGCGTATTTATTCACATCATTCTGAATTTAGAAACAATCAGCACTAAAACTTAGGGTTGCTGAGATGGTTCGCATAAGTCCCTGGTACGAAGTTCTATAGTGATCATAAGAACTTCTACACAACACTGCTCTCACAGCCAGGATCACCCAAGCGTCACAAGCTCGAGGGATTTTTTTCTCCAACTCTAGATACAAGACTGCTCAAATACCTCACCTTTAGACCCAGTCCACGCGAAATGAATATCATCAGTAGCTTCTTCTCAAGTTCACAGCTTTCAGGGCCTACGCGGAATTAAGAACCCTAACCCTTTATTTTCCTTTTAAAATGAGCGCATCGATACTCGCACTGCGAAACCTTCACCACAACAATTTTCCTCACTCAATCAACAACCATCAATCTTGAACTCCTAAATATCTCTCACGTACTGTCTAGAAAACTAATAACAGGACTGCTCAGCTCGAGGAAAGATCAATGTCGGCATTCAGAGGAACAGAATTCTGGCAAACAGCCTTGTGGTATAAAACGACAACCATCCGACACAGCCATGTAATGTGTGTCAGGGTATTCTTGGCTCAAGTACAGAAGTTGAATGTGGCGGGGCACGGCATGCTGAGTGTTTACAGCCTACACCACGTTAGTAAAAGCCTCAGGTACGCCCCTACTACCGTTGCTAACTACCATTTATTTAATTCTAACGACCTTTGGCACGGCTTCGGACTTCTAATTTATTGGTGATAGAAGGCTGGGAGCATACCTTGCCAAGATTCCTAGAAAATGTCTACTACATTATCTCCAATACAAGAATATTCATGATATTGCAACACATAACTCTGAACCAACTCTATTCTTCAACAGAGTCACCCCTTTTCAGGCAAAAGCTGATAAAGAAAACCAAACTAGACTCGATCAGTGACGTTGTAAGCGCAAACATGAGACAGTCTAATGGATCTTTCATGAGATGAGCGCAACAAAGATGGTTATACAACTCCCTTCTTTCCCTTCTATCCTGCAGACCAACACACAAACTACTATTACTACTACTAGTCTCCCCAACACACAAACTGCTGTAAGAGTCTACCTCACCTCCTTGCCATTCGCATTGCTGCAGCTGGACATCTTGAAAAGAAAGCATTCGACGAAAACACCTCGTGGCTACCAGCATTCCACCCAGCTCGTTGAAACCACAAACCCACGCAGAATTACGATCGGGACACAAGAATCCCGCTCATTCATCCCACTGATCACACAAGCATTCTCTATCTCTCCAGAAGCAACAACCCTACCATCGCCAGGGCACATCCTTCTTCCCCTCCTCCTTCCTGGCCACGATGCCCTAGCGGAACAAGCACCAACCCAATCCATCGCTCCACACAACCTTCTAAAACTCCTCCCCACTATCCACGATAACAACAACAGAAACAATCACACGCACCTCCCTTCCTCTTCATCTTCTCACCCCTCCCTCCCTCCCTCTCTCACTCTCTATCTCTCACTCTCACTCACTTGCCCCTCAAAACGAAAATCCGTGGAAGCTCGGGTCCAAATGAAGTGCCGATCATGGTCACCTGGGCATATACCCCGAAGCTTATGCACTACGGCAGAAGAAGAAGAAGAGAACCAGCAATAATGAGAAGCACAATTCTTCCACATGCCCTCGTTCCATGCCAACTTTTCTTCTCTTTATTTTCTATTCTCTTCTCCACCGACAAGCTGTATCAAGCGAGAAAGCAACATCATCCATCGGCGTCACCATGAACGGGCTTCCTGTCTCAGCATCTCTGTCTCTGTCATGAGCAAGGCACTCCAACACCACTCACTCAAACTCACACTCACAGGCACGATTGCGACTACTACTTAGCTGCTCATTCCTCCCACAGCAGGCATTTGCGGAATAGGTATCCAGCTGGTACCTCGTGCTGGATGAACAGAAACATATCACAGCGCTCCTTGCACAAGAACATTTTAATAAAACCTAAATGTTTAGGAAAATGTTAAATCGATCCCAACCCCTCTTATTTCGACCCCACTATCATCAATTTGCACCAAAACTACATCATTACATGAATATGGCAGTATCCATGGTAATATTAAATTGAAAATAATATTGGCAAGGTGCAATGTGTCACAATAAGCATGATTGGGTTTGAATGGGGCTAATCATGGTGAATTTATGTGTAAATACAATATATCCATACAGACATGACTATTAAATAGTTTGAATTTGACTGCCACAATATCATTAACAATAGCTTTTTAATGTTAAAATTAGAAAATTCTTTGCCACTCTTATTTTTTTCTCTTTGTCCTTCTTCACTATCAAAATTTTCTTAGTGCAATTCATAATGCGCTAACTTTGACCTAAAAAAAAACTATAGATATTGTTCAATTGTTCTGTTTTGAAATAGAGAATATACTTAATATAGGTCTTCTTCTAAAGTGATTATTTGCTACATATGTAGAAATGAAGCAATACTTAGATCAATTATTGTACACTCAAAGTTACATGGTTTGTTGACGTCACTGAAATAAGGATTGTGTCATCTTTAAGTGCAATAGAGGTCACACTTACAATTAGTCTGAAGCATATACTTCTCAGCATAGTTTAGCCACGTGGTTAATAGAGTGCTTTTTTAATTATATGCTTGTTATTTGTACATTGACAAGTGTTTATATTTGTCAATTTGAAGGAGGAGTCACAACCATAGTCTCTTAGCAACATTAGTGTGCCAATCAATTACTTGTTGTCTCTAATCTACACAAAAAGCTCTAAGATTCAAATGCTTGTTATAGAAGTAGTTTTGAGGAATATTATTATTACTCTATATCAAAGAGACTCTACAAATCTAATCATTGTATGCATTATCTACAACAAGCACCAATAGATTTGTGTGACTCATCTTCATAGTCATTATTCAATTCACACCTTGATAGAAAACCTTTGCAATACTTCATATTATTATACCTACAAAAGTGGTCAGACAAATAAGTTTAATTGTCTTTTTTTTGCTCAACTTAGATGTGTATAATTAGCAAAAAAGCATCCATACAATATTTTTATGGATTGCATTTACAAAACAAATAGGTTTTGGATGCCTATGCTACATGTTGTGGAAGTCATAAGCTTCAACACATCTTTTACTATTGGAGTTGCTTTTCTCTAAGAAGAAATACATTTTTTTTTTGTATTGGGCATTAATGCAATTGAAACTAGTGTATGAGGAGTTATGACTCATTAGCATCAGTATTGATAGAGACTCAACAGTCATAAATGCCATAAAAGATGTATTCTTTATATCTAAGGTTTTTTTTTTTTTTTTTTTTTTTTTTTTGCATATAGCATATTCATAAGTACATTTTGGTCAACTGCAAAAAATTCTTTTTATTTGATAATGAAGATAGGTAAGCCACCTTTATTGCAAAATAGACAATGGTGATGAATTGTTCATTGGAGTAGGATTTTGATAGACAATAGATGAGCTTCTATGCCATGTATGCTCATGCACCAATAAAAACAAGCAATTGCATATTATCAAATAATGTAGATTCTCCACAAGAAGAAATTTGTCAAATTTTAGACAAATAATATTTTCTACCTTAGTTGCATTACTACATTGTAGACAAAAAGACAACACTTAGCCTTAAAGTTGTACATAAAGGTCTTTACAAAAGATCTTTATGATGTGCAAATTTCTTTATCACTTTTTCTTAGTAATTCAATCAAAGCAATCAAGACCTAAAAGAGCTTTGAGTGCTCACATGTACACCACTATTATAATATCAAGTTTTTCAATAGAATTATTTTGGAGGTGTTAATGCACTCACTAAATCATGTATTTGAGCAATTTTAGTTAATCATTATTCCTTTAGACAATAATAAATCTATATCTACATATGTATTCACAACAATATTAAGTCTTCTTTATCAATACTAAATGTAAAAGATGTTTAAACAAGCAAAAATCTTGGTAATTGATGATTTCTATATTTAATATCACTTGGTCAACTTACATGTATTGATGGCTTAGTCCACTTCAAAAATGATTGCTTTTACTACCAAACTAAGTATTATGCTTGAAGAAGTTGATTGGATGTATCAACTAATCATACATCACCAACACTAGAAGGTGCAAGAAAAGTTCTTAGAGCTTGCTACAATGACAATAGCATTGAAAATTCCTTTAATAAGCTACTTAAGAGGTTGTCCACATAGTTGAAAAAATAAGACAAATATTAATTCAATACAAAGAAATCTATTGTAATTTAAAAATGTCAAAGGTATAAGTGTTAATGTCTACTATTGCAAAAATTACAAAGGCACTAGATATAACATTCATACTTATCTTTCTCATGATGTTTATACTTTACATCCTTTTGCCTTTCTATTATCAATTGCATTTTATCCAATGTTGATCAACTTGAAAGCATCACCAATAGCTTCTTCTTTAGTATACTTGGATTAAAAGTAGAGATGTTGTACCTCATGTGAGTACACTTAAGGCTCAAAATAATCAGGTGGCCATATAGTTTGAATAGATTAAAAGTGAAGTTTTATTATAGCAAGTTAATATACTTTATTTTTGTTTATGAGCTAATGGGAGTTGTGTGCTCATTCTTATAGAAGCTTTTATGCTAATGGAAAAGATTTTTATTTAAGTACACATAAACTAAGTTAATGCTTAACCAAGTTTTACTTGGATTTTTCTATTTTGTCAAAGCCTTGCTTGATATATCTAAAATTATTAATTGATACATACAACCATGCCTCTTGCTCTTGCCTTCATTAAAATTGTGTGAAATTGTCTAGTTAAAAGATTTGTCAATATCTTCTTGCAATACACAAATGAATTAACACAATTCTTCTTAGTAGTCTACAATATTTGGGTATATATTACAAAATATTCAAAACATAATTATTCTAAAAAAACACAAATTATTTTCTAAATAAATCTTAATTCTAATTACTACTAGATATATACTTGCCAAGACCAAAATTTGTTATCATATTGTGTTTACCAAAATTTGAACTTTTATAATTAGATCTTGAGCTTAATCTCCATCCATGTAAGGTCTTTTTGACAAATTTAGTCTCTCCATGCTACCTTCTTGCTAGTATTGAATTTATCATTATATAATAGAAGTATTTCACAATAGTAAAGAGCAAAAAATCTAGACGCTATAACAACTGAATATTACAATTCAAATACATTAGTTAATCCTTGCAAGAATTCATTAGAGTAAAGAAAAATATATTGCAAAGAAAGGCTAATTCAACTTACATATAAGAAGATCCATGCACAAAATTACATACTCATGTGGAAAAATTTTCATGCAATATCACCACATACTTAGTCAAAAACTTCTTTAATTGGTAGCTTAGATACAAACCTCCTATCTTGATAAGTCGAGCATAGACCTTTCTACTTGGTGGCTTGGATATATACCTCTTTTTTTTGTTCTTTAGACTAAATCCTATCCTCAAAATTATCATGCGCTAGCATTAAGTTGTGAATCTAAGACTAGCAATAAAAAAATAGGAGAAACAATTAAAATACATGATATAACAAGAACACCACAATAAAGCCTAAGCAATGCAATATTGAAGAAAAAAATAAAATTCTTGCTTGTTTTTATATTTGATGTTAAGATTTAGGATAAAGAAGACAAGAAAAAAAAATTATAGCCGCCAAAACTTGATTGCTATTTTTTCTTTTCATTTAGCTAAATCTTAATTCTTCAAGTCTTGTTGAACTAATAGAATTGTTGATATTATAGCTATAGGCTAAAAAAAGTACTTGAAGTACATTTCAATTTGGATAGGTTGTAGATACAAAAGAAATTTTACTTTGATTAAGTTATAGATGTTATATATATTGACTAAATTGGAGACATCATAATCAAGTCACTTTGATAATGTAATTGGCATTGTTCATTGTCTTCACAACTTGATGCTAGCACTATTCAATCTTATATAAAACCTTGATACAATTTTGTATTTAAGTAGAATCTAAGGCTATTGTAATATTGAATGGTATTTTTGGTAGCAAAGATTGTTCTCTATAGATCGTTCTTACAATGTGCTTCATTATCTACTACTTACATCAATATAGTCAATTTTTTTTCCATCATTATATTAATGTGATTTGGTGCTCAAATTTCATAGTACGTATATGATGCAAAAACAAATTTTAAATGGTCCACTATATTAATCATTCATATATAAGTACTTAAATTTTTTAAGAAATATTATTGAAAGTAATATTTAATATACTATATACTTGACTAGGCAACTTTCAAGGGCTTGATGCTAGTTAACTTATTAAATCAATTAAACTAAATACTTTGGTCGGTTCTTAGATTGGTAGAAATTTCTTTCAATAGGCATTGTCCATTGTGATTTGCTTATGACTTATTGAAATGCTAGGAGAAATTAACATATATTAATATCACTATCTATTTTTTAATTTTGTTGTTTCTTATTAGTTATTGTATAATTTCTATTATGTATTTGCTCACAAGAAATTTCATTATTCCTAAAGCATTTGCAATCTTTAGTCTCAATTACTTTCATCTTCTACTTTTGTAAGCATTATTTTTTTTTGGTGATGTCATGTATTCATACAACCTAATGAGAGTATAAATTGCTATGTCACCTATTGAATTGTCGTGTAATTTATCTATTTGAGGTTTTTGTTAGAAAATTATAATTCATTTATAATACAAAAACTTTTGTGATCATCTTTATTATAGTTTAAAAAGTCTATTTTTGTACTGCAGATTATTTCTCCTTCTGAAGTTTGTTTGTTTGATGCTACACTATGCAACCTTAGCAATGCTGTTGTAAATTAGAAAGAATACTTCAGTATTAGCTGTTGTATTGCAAGGCTTGTATTATGTTGTATCATGTCAAGCATTAGACTTGGTCTCTAGCAATGTTGTAGCAAACAATACAAAAGACAAATTCTAAAATATCTTTAGTAAAACATCCTTGATAAAAAAATATTTAATAAATCAAGTGCCCATGATTAATAAAATTGCAAAGCCAATAATTCATTGCATCTTGCTAATAATATTTTTAATTTAGTATTACCACAAATATTACCATATTTGTATAATAATAAAATTTTGGTGCAAATTGATGATATTAAGATCAAAATCATAGAAGGTGGAGTTAATTTAATATTTTCTAATATTTAATCTTCTCAAATGACTTATAAATAATTTTTATATTTATATATTTAAAAAAAACCAAATATTTTATATTGTATCTTTTCTAAAAATATTTAAAGAAATTTCAACAATTGCTTACACACATTACTACTATTCTACATCAATGTTCTTTCTTTAGCTTGGTTTAATTGCATACATGTTACTTTTGCCACTTTTAGTTTTTTTTTAGTTTTTTTTTAGTTTTTTTTTTTTTTTTTTTTTTTTGAAATATCAATTAGATCCTGATTTTATTCTAACATTTTTTTCCGTAAGTTTATAAATATTTTTAGTTGAAATTTGAATTCTTATCTTTTTAGTTTAGATGTTAACTTGTCATTTTTTTGGTAGTATGAAGTCATTTTGAATTACTTATCTTTAAATTTTGATTTGTAATAGTGTCTCGTTTGTTTTATTAGAAGAAAAAATTAAGATATTTTTTATTATTTTTTAAAATATAACCTACAAATATTCAATATTTTAGAATAGTAATTTAATTATTTTTATTCATCTTAAAAATGGTTTAAAAAAATATTAAATCAACCTCATCTACTATTATTTCAATTCTACCATCATCAATTTTTATTAATAGTACATCATAATGCAAATATAATTATACATGCAGTAAAATTAAATTAGAAATAACATTGGCTTGGTGCAACATATCTTTTGCTTTACAATTTGATTAATCATGGTTACTAAATTTAGCAAAGATGTTTTATCAATATCTTTTGCATTGTTTTCTATAACTTTGCCAACAATGGTAGTGGCTTTCAATGTGATTCAATACAATCCTTACACGCCTTATAATATAGTAGCCAATACTTGAGTCTTCACTTTAAATTGTAGTAGCATTGCCAAGGTTGTAAAATACATCATTAAGATATATAAACTCCAAAAAGAAAAATAATTTGCACTGCTAGAAATATGCTTTCTAAACCACGATGAAGATAATGACAAGAGTTTGTGTATTGTAGACACATTATAATTTTTGAATAAAAACCTTAAATAGGTGAATTAGACAACAAACTAATAGCTGATGTATTAACATGTAGTCTCACTAGGTTGTATGATGATCTCAACATTTCCTACTTTAGACTTTAGTACTATACAAGACAATCATATTCTTATATCTGATAGAGATCCAAAAGCAAAATCAAAATTAATCAAGTTTTTTTTCATCCAACTTATTTATTATATAATAAGCTTCTTGGTTGCATCTAAAAACCTATAAAAAATTATTACCAGCTAAAATTTAAATATAATATATTTTTTATTCTTAAGCTTCCAATTAATACTACAACTCATATATTTTTATAATAAAATTGCACAAGTTAGATGGCTCAAAAGTTAGTAGTAAACATTCTATATACACTCAATTAAGAATTATGAAAAGTTAAAGTATTCATCAATGATTGACTAATACATTAGACTATTTAAAAATAAAAAAATAAAAAAATAAAAAATGCATCATATGTGCACTATAAGATTTGAATAGCAAATCACATCACCATTTTGATAGAAAGAAGAATGAGAAGATTAGCTTGAGAAATGAGTGATAATGTATGTTGCATGAATAATCGACAAAGAACCATTCTTGCTACCAAAAGTGCCAACATTATGACAGCCTTAGCCTTTGCTTAAATACAAAATTATATCAAGAATTTTATACAAGATTGAAGAGTACTACAACACTGAAATTAAAAGTACGCTATTTTTAAGTGTTTCCGGTTTTCTCTTTTCTTTTCTTCTTCCAGTTACGGGACTGTAACAATCTCTTTTTTAATGAGGCCTAAAATGATTTTTTTTTATTCGTTTTCTATATGTTTTATCAGCAACTGAGGCGATGGAAATTATTCTCAAGGTAGTATTATCCTCAAAAATAATGACTTGTTTGTCCATGTTGAATGTACGATAAATATAATCAACAACTGGGTTGGTGGAACTTTAGAAGCATGTGGTGAGATTGCCTCACTGAGACTAGATGTGGAGAAGATTACTCAAAATGAGCTGCACATATTTCTCAAATTGGAGAAGAGTTCTGCAAAATGCTAGAAGTCGGTTAGGTTTTAAAACGAATTTCTGCGTCACACCCACGATTCACAAAGGTAATTTGTTCAGTTTATTGGATTACTCTAGATGCGATCAATTGAGAGTGTTCGTGCTGTGAGTATGTGAAATAATGAAAAAAAATACAAACGTACAGATAATCCATGAGAAAGTGAGTAAGTGATGTACCTCACACTCTTGGTTGTAGAAGATATGATTAATAGGATTGATTTTCACCCAGCAGGAACTATTGAAGCACAGCAAGAGCAGATAAAAGCGTAGCACTGCATTCCGAAAAAGAGAGGCAAACAACAGAGACAATATTACCATATTCAAAATTCCTTAGCGTGGAAATAGTACAAGCTTTATTGAACGCCCGAAGGTGCCTGGAGGTGATCAATGTGACCACCAAATCAATGAATTGAATGAAAGATACATGGAGGATGATGAAGAGCACCTACTTTACTCGCTAGATTTAATTCTCTAGAATGGTAAATGTTTCCGGCAGTGCATTTACGGAACGCACAACTCCAAAAGAAAAAGGGAGAACTCATGCCGGTCAAACATTAGATGATCTGAATTTAAAAGATGAAAGCAGCGGCAACTCCCATGCAGACAACGGCAATGCTTGAGGCCACATTCCTGGCAGCGCTAGACTCAGCTGGGCTGGGTCCGGGGGAGGAGGCAACGGGACCCTCGGAAGAAGCGGGAGCATCGACAGGAGACTCCACAGGGCTGGACTCCGGGGATTCAACTGCAGCAACACCAGCATGAAATGCCATCAGCTTCTCAAATGCAGGAAAAAGAGGTCGCATTCACAAAAACAAGTATTCAAAACAAGCTTGTGACATACACAAGAGTCAGCAACTGATTTCAAGTCAAAAGAGCGAGATCTAACCTGGTGGTGACATGGGAGTCGACGAGGAAGGTGCCATCTCAGGAGCCATGGGCGAGCTTTCGGGGGAGTATTCGGGAGAGTACATGGGTGCAGAATGAGGAGCATACTGGGGGGCGTACATCGGGGCACCAGAAGGAGCCATTTCGGGTCCCATCATCTGACCATGGGATTGAACGAACACTGAAGCGAAGAGGGCAACAAGGCACAAAGCCGACACCATGGTGTTTTGACGGGCAGAGACGGCCATCGCGAATCTGAAATCCTTAAATCTAACAAACGTAGACTGATCGACGAAAGCAGAATGGTCAACAAATGCAGAAAGTTCAACAATCACAGTGTTCACGAACACTGCAGCTCTAGCTGACAACAAAGCGATACACTCAATCTCGACTTAGTGGTATTCTAGACTTGAAAGCCGAGATATATCACTAGAGCTGATTGAGAGGACTGATCCCAGAGCAGTGCTTGTGAAAGAGCAGTGCAGACTATGAGGAATTCGACCTCTTATGAAGGTTCGTCAAGACGCGGGAGGTGCAAACTGGAGTCGTTCAAAGCAGGTGGCTTGGGTCCTAAGATTCCGAACCTAACAGGGTGAAGCGGCGCAGGGAACGCGGCGTTTAGGCGCTAGATCCAGGTGTGCCACCCCATGTTCAGGTAACTCAAACACACTACAGACCACGGAATCGGTGCCGCTGAAAGGGCTCTAATACATAATGCAGGCTTTGTCATGTCCGAAAAATACATACAACACAGCGCACCGCAGCTGGGCACACACATGGAGCCCTGGATCCAGGAACCCTGGCAGTGATGGGGCCCCTGCTCCCTGCCGATCTACGCGGACCTCGCCGATTCTAAGCCCCACGCTGCACTTCGATGTTTTTATCATTGTTGTTGTTGATATATGTATCGCACCTCTCAAAACCCCGTTCGCCTGCATGTAGACATTCATTCCATGGTCGCTGCATTTGTCGCCATGGGTGGTGGTGTATCTTGCCACCACTTTCCTAGTCTTGGTTCCACAACCATGTATAGTTTTATTGCTTATAAGTGAATGTCTACATAAAGAAACATTAAATCAATCCACCATATAAATTTCACAATTCTATTTATTATATATACATACATATATTAGAAACTATAGATATGTTCAAGCATTATGCTTGAACAACTAACAAATTTGGTATTTTTTAGGTTACTAAGGTCCTACAGTAGTGACGAGGCTTTTATTATTTCAAACTAGTTCCTAGCATGTTGATGCTTCAAATAGAGCAACACATTGACTTAGCTACTATTGCATCAAGGTTCTACAAAATTAAACCTAATTCTTTTGTAATAGAGACTTTTCCAATCTATATAGCTTAATTGTTAATTCAAGTAAAGAACTTTAGACATCATCTTTTGAGTGGCATGGTAATGTACGGTATGTATTGTTTATAAGAATGAAAACAAGTTCAAGTGTTTGTAGTGCCATTGTATAAATACATCAAACATCTTAGAATATATTTACTACACTAAAGTTTTTAACTTTTTTGTTTTATTTCCTTAAAGTGGTCTCACATTATAACAATCATATGATTTTTGTAATATATTGAATTAGATAAATATTTCATGGATATATACATTTATTCCAATATTTACTTATATAATTAGGTAGAAATAGGTAAATATAGATTAATTTCATAAAGTCTTTTAGATAAGCTTTTTAGAAGCTTTATAGACGTGGTTTTGACTTTAGATGTGTTTGTGGGTTAGAAACTTGGCCAACAAGTTAATCATGTCTTAGTAGCTTGTGGAATAAGATAACTCTATGCAATAGCTTGTGGAACAAGCTAATTATGTGGTGCATACATAAATAACTTGCCTTGCAAGTTAAAACATGTGGCTAGCAAAATCAACACATATTCGAGGTCTTATAGAATATCACCATGTAGCTCCTAATTAGAGAGTATATATGGAGGCAAGAGTGAAGCCTTCTTCACTCTTGTCAACATATTTCTAATCATTAGTTTTATTTCAAGACTTTCTAGTCCTTTTTTTTTTGGCAATAGCTATTTTAGTTCAATATTATGCCATTTTTGAATGACTTTCTTGTTCCTTTCAGTGACATAAGAGTGTATTGAGGATTTCTTTTTTTAAGATTCATATCTTTGATAGTTTAATAAGATTGCTAACTTATTGTTTTTATCTTATTTTAGAAGTAAGTGAATTACTTTATTTATGCTGTTGTATTTTGAAGGTTGCGGATAATCCATCTTTAAAGAAACAATTTTATTTTTTAACATTGATTTTTACCTTAAAAGAGAGTGGATTATCCCTCTTCATGGAAATTATCATTTCACATTAAAGGTTGCAGATTATACTCCTTTAATTTAACTTTTTGAATTTTTTTAAAAGTTGTTTATAGAAAGAAAGATTATAGATGCTACTCTCAACAAAAGTAAATAGATTTGCAACTATTGTAGATCTTCTTAAGCTTATCAATATTCTAAGAGTAGAAACTCATGTATTTTCAATGTAAATCATGGAGGTACTATTCCTATGTCTATAGAAGAAGTTCAAAGTCTATGTCAATAAGTTGTGCAGTTGAAGGAAGCAATTAGATCAACTTCACAACCAAATCTAGGAAGTTTTGTTTCTACAAGTGCGATGGGAACCAAGATTAGTATGCCCAAGAAGTTTGATGGAACAAAATCATAATTTTGAAGATTTTTGTAATAAATCAAGCTCTATCAAAAGTTGCATTCCTTTCAATATCTTGATGGATATACTTAAGTTAGATTTATAAGTACACTTCTATTTAAAAGTGCTCTCTCTTGATTTGCACCTTTGATAGAAAAGAATTTGTGACTTCTTTATGATTTACATTCATTTCTAGAAGTATTTACAACCACATTTTGAGAAAGTAATTAAGAAAGAATAGCGGAGACTAAGCTCTTATTTTTATGACAAGAATCATAGTCAACCACCATATGTGATGCTGAATTCTAAAACCTCGCTTATAATGTGGACTGAAATCACAAAGTCCTTATTAATCAATTTTAGTATAGGTTGAAGGACAATGTCAAAGATTTGTTATTGACAATATCAAAGACAGAATCTTTGGACTAATTTATTGCTTAAGCCATTGCATGTGACAATATATTATTTAAAAAAATATCAAGAATAAAGACTTGATTAGAAAGAAACAAGTCAAATAATAATAGCATCTCTTAAGTTATTTGAAACTTATTCATCATGGTCAAAACTAATACAAATTGATATAGTACATTTTAAATTCCTCACATAGCAAGTAAAAACTAGACATTGTCAAAAAGATTTTTGCTTATATTATAGAGAAGCTAGGCATATTGCTCAATATTATTCAAAAAAGCAACGCAATTACAAAATGAGAAGCACAATTACTAAAGAAGATAATGTATTGGAAAATAAATTACTCTAGCTACAATAGGAACCATATGGCTGGAATCATGTACAACATCTAGTAAAGATCTTATTCTTTCCTCAGATCCCTCACCTTATTTTACAATAGAAGTTTGTTTAAGACCAAAAAATCAAAAAGTCTTAGCCTTGTTGGATTCAAGAGCCTTACTCTGTTTTATAGATGAAGACTTTATCAAAAAATAAGATATATACTTATAATAGTAATAGATGGACATTCATTGTCTTCTAAAGATGTTACATATGAAATTATTCTTATAGAAGTAAAAACTAGTGGTGACAATAGTTTAATAATATTTAATATGGTTAAATTTCTTTCTAATCCAATTATTTTAGGATTATTGTTGTTAGAAAGATATAACCCTCAAATAGACTAGATTTCTTGCAATCTTGATTTTTTCCATTATTTAGCCTAAGGTCCTACTAGGTAAGTAGAAATCCATAAGTCTAGTACATCTAAACTATTATTGATATGTACAAGAGCTTTTATGCATGCCGCAAATGAAGGGCTATCTTTTGCTATATATGCCATGCCTATTACTAATGGTGAGAAGATATTGAGTAGTATTCCTAGCTAATATCAATATTTCTAAAATATTTTTGAAAAGAAGAACGTAAATATTTTTTTAGAACATCGTCTTTATGATTGTTCTATCGATCTTCAAGAAAGAAGTCAACCACTATTTGGACCAATCTATAGCCTATGACAAAATGAGTTGGCTGCATTGAAAAAATATACATTAATGAGAACTTGGCTAAGAACTTTATACACCATTTTAAATCTCCAATTGAGGCTCATATCTTATTTCTAAAGAAAAAAGATGGATCTCTGTAGATATGTCGGGACTATCAAGGACTTAAGAAGATCACCATTAAAAATAGGTATCCTCTATCCTTGATTTTAGGACTTCTTGATCAATTAAATGAAACAAAGATCTATACAAAAATAGATCTACAAGGAACATGTAATTTAATCTGCATCAAAGAAGGAGATGAATAGAAGACTACTTTCTGAACTAAGTATGGATATTTTGGATATAATGTCATGCCTTTTGGACTCACGAATACACCAACCACTTTTCAATATTTAATGAATGATGTCTTTTGTGAGTTTCTTGATGATTTTGTTATCTATTATTTTAACAAAATTTTAATCTATTCTAAGAATAAAAAAGATTATGAATTTCATATTTGTCATGTGTTACAAAAATTAAGAAATACATGATTATATGCAAAGATGGAAAAGTGTGTATTCCACACTACTCAAGTTGATTTTTTGGAATATATCATTTCTAATAAAGGCCTTATGATGGATCCAAAGAAGATCCAAATTATTATACATTAGAAGGTATCAAAAATAGTAAGAGATGTGCAATGCTTTTTAAACTTTGCCAATTATTACCAAATCTTTATCAAGAACATTTTTTAGATTGCAGCTTTACTTACATGTTTGACTTGTAAAGACAAACTTGAGTGGAACCAAGAAGCAGAAACATTATTTGTTGCTTTGAAGAAAAAATTTACTTTTGCACCAACTTTATATTATATTAACTTTTTTAAGATATTTTTTATAGAAATAGATACATCAAATTTTGCCTTGAGTGCATTATTGTTACAAATGGGAATAGATGACAAATTCCATCTAATAGCTTTTTATTCCAGGAAATTTTTAGCAACTGAGATTAATTATGAGATCCATGACAAAGAACTTCTTGTAATTATTGATTTATTTCAAGAATGGCATCATTATCTAGAAGATGCTTCAAGTCTAGTCATAATATATACATATCACAAGAACCTTGAGTGTTTCATATTCGCACATATTTTGAATTATTACCAAGCTTGTTGGAATATATTATTATCAAGATTTGATTTCAAGATCACATATTGACCTAAAAAATAACAAGGTTTATTACATGCTATTTTTAGATATTCTTATCTTACATCAAAAGAAAGAGACGTATCTTTTGATCAACAAAGAATAATCTTCTTGAAGTTAGAGCAATTTTAACTTCGAGCAATAAAATCAACATTGACTATTGATTTGATCTTTGTCAAATA